CACTTCGGACCTCAAGAGTGCGACACAATAAAGTTCCTCTCGGGCTCATAGTCGAGGAACACATTACTTCGGACCTCAAGAGTCCGTTGCAATACAGTTCCTCTTAAGCTCATAGTCGAGGAATACATCACTTCAGACCTCAAGAGTCGGGCACAATAAAGTTCCTCTCGGGCTCATAGTCGAGGAACACATCGCTTCGGACCTCAAGAGTCCGGTGCAATATAGTTCCTCTCAGGCTCATTGCCGAGGAACACAGCGCTTCGGACCTCAAGAGTCTGGTGCAATACAATTTCCCTCAGGTTCATAGCCAAAGAATATACCACCTAGAACGATTTAAGTTCGAGGCTACATCAATAAGGTGTAAGTCCAACTAGGGGCAAAAGTTCTCTATGGCAATACACCCACAGATCCTTTTTAATGGACAAATGGTATATAACCCATGGAAGGTTTTGTCCCACATCAAAATAATACAAGGAAAACAAGTATTGATATATTTATACCATACGAATCAATGGCAGAAGGGTTCCCTTGATGGTTAAAATATTAGACGGAGAAACCATCCTCAGATATTCATTAAACGGTCAAAGGGATTCCCTTCTTATATTTTCCCTATTTTTGCTTCGGACCACAAGAGGTACGAAGCCCTCAGGCAATGAGTCTTCTTCCTTAAGGATAGAAGCACATTATTACAGTGTAATAGTGTAAAAATCAAAAGCATTCACAAGCATGAAAAATACTTCAGAATAAATGTAGTCACTACATTTCAGGAGCAAAAATATATTGTTTGTACATTCATCCCTTCAAAAAAAAAAAAAAAAAAAGAGTTACACGACTCTACATCCTTTTTGGATCAAAAGGAGCAGAGTCAAAGGCATTCACTACATTCAAACTTGTGGATAAAGGAGCTGGCAGGTTAGAAGATGGATGATCTGGCAAGCTTGAAGCTAGATGGTCCTCCTGATGAGACTTCACCATAGCAACAAACAATATTTCAGCTTCTTGGGCCTGAGGACCTTTAGCGTAAGGGAATGACACATTCATGTCAGTATCAAATGCCTCTGGGTCCTTCGCCTTATCACCTGAACCCTGGTTGAAACCGAATCTGAATGCTTTGGCACTAGAGAGGCACGCCAGAGTTGAGTAGCGTCCTAGCATTTGCTTCCCAGCAGTGATGCATGTGCTAATCGCATCATTCAATTGTTTGACTTCAGCTTCCAAAGTCTCCACCTTAGCCTCAGAAGCTGCCAGGCGATTCATATAGACATCTCTTGCGTTGGATGTGATCTTCTCATTCATAGCAAAATACGAAGCCTTCTTCTCAGCATTACCCAGGTCTTTTTCCAATTTCTTAATGGAAAGAGACTGACCTTCAACGGTGGCACACAGTACCATAGTTTGGTATAGACTGTACACAGTTAACAATAATAATATCAGTAAATCTGCGGTGAAAAGAAATCTGAAGGATTAAACAAGTGAAGGGAAAAGAATAAACCTTCACTGCATCAACTGGGGCGGATGGTATTAGCTGATCTAACCCCAGCTTCCTGGTGATTTCTTAATCCTTGGGTAGCCACATCCCTCGAGCAACAAGGCAGCAGAGGGATCAGAGACTATTGATCCCTAGAATAAAGGATTGACTTGTCAGCCCTTGAGAAGACAGTCCTCCAAGGTTCTCCAGATTCGACTTGGACGTAAGCCCGAACCTCCTCCTCTGGGTCAGTTTCCCCAACTTTCTTTCCCCTGCCCTTGGGGACATTCTTGCCTTTGCTGGTGGAGGAAGGGTTTGACTTTGCCTTCTTCAGTGAAGGCTCATCAATTTCCTGCTCGTGTTTAGTAGATCTGATGACTGCCAAAGGCAGCGCTTCAGTAGCTCTCTTCTTTAGAGCCACAGCCCTCTGTTTCTCTTCCTCAGTCATGGGGAAGCTGTCGAAAAAAGGAAGTGTCAAATCTATCAGGTCTGCAGTTGTGGCACTAGAGGCAATTCCTTTGAGGTTAGTGGAAGAAAGTAAATACTCAATCGAAGGAGGGTCGCTCCAAACTTGTGTTTCGAGAAAAACAAGTCTTTTCTTAGTTATGGAGGAGGGGAATGTTGCTGAAAGAAGACCATGAAATTCATAAGTATGACGAAATAATAAAACTTGACATGGGAAACAACCAAAGTACTTTTCATGGAATGAGAGAAGATACTATATACCTAGCTTCCCAAATTTGCGAGGGATGGGAAGGGTATTCGATTTATTCATAGACCAGTTCCCCTTCACAATTATCATCCTCTCTTTCCACTTCTTCTCAAAGGAAGGGAGGTCCGTACATATCCTCTGCTGAAGAGGGGAAATGAAGTAAAAATGGCCAGGCTCAGTCCCATGCCCAGTGATGGTGTAGGTAATGAGTAAGTCAGCAAGAGTCAAGTCAAGACTCTCCAACCTTCAGCGAACTAGAAGTGCCGAGACTATTCGAAGAAAGTTGGGGTTTACTTGGAGAGGGGTAAGTCCTAACTTATTAAAGACCAAATGATAGAAGGGGTGAAGAGGGAACCAAAGAGCGTTAAGGTGCCCAACTGATAAAAGTAATTCATTGTCCCCTACACCTTTGCCAGAACTGAAATCAGCCTCTTCTGGGTATTCGACAATGTCTACCCCATCAGGAATCTCAAATTCCTCTATTACAGACTCAATAGAGAACTTGATACGCCGAATAGACAAAATCAACTTTCTCTCATCTTTAGTAAACACACAATCTGACCCGGAAGTGGATACTTCAGCCGGTGAAGGGGAGACATCCATTTGAACAGCTAGATTGTTTGCAAATTTAACGAGGTCAGAAACCCTAGGAGGAGAAATCCTAATAAGATTGGGGGAAGAAGAAGGTGTAGAATCCAAATCTATAAGGTCTATACGGTCGTGAGTGGATGAAAAGCTCATGATGTGAAAGAAATTAGGCAAATGAATGAGGAACTAACCTGAGATCACGTTAAAGCAATAAGCACAGTAAACGTTGCAGAGTTAGAAACAAGCTATGAAGAGGCCTTTTAGTCAGAATGGAAATGGACACACCTTGAACCGCCTTTTGTAGAATTGGCAATCGTGCAACTTCAATTTCCCTTTTAATTAGGAGCCGTAGTCCAATTAAAGAGGGAATTGGGGGCAAAGTGTGCAGGGATAAAATTCCCCCTCCAATAAGAATCGTCCACATCATCACACTACAAATTTATATAATATACAGCAAGAGCCCAATCCGGAACAAGCCCAGGCAAAATCTTTCTTCCATCTAGATCGCTGACTTAGACCATTCGGCCCATTTATCAAGCCCAGATGCTTACAATCTCGTTTAGGCCCAATGAAGACATCAACAGCCCGGGGGCGTTAGGGTTGAACTTTAAGCCCATTTACCGAATCGTCTGGATCAGCCAACATTCAGCCCAACGTCAATTAAAGGCAGATCAGTCCTGCTAGACAAAGGATTCAGCAATGAAAGCAGGTTCTGTGCAAGGAAAGTTTTACATGAAAAGAATTGTAAAAAGGAAAGGATTATAATTGTAAAGAATGTCATGTATGGAATGGATTGGAGGACAAGCCAGGCGAGTCCTATTATAATTCCACCACCTTATTTCTTATAAATAGAGACCTAGACCTCCAATAAAATTATCGATGCATTATACGTTTTTTCTGAGTATTATAATTACTTGTTTTTGAGTGAGTTGTATTTTTCTTTTTATTTGTTTTAATAGAGAGAAATTTTGCACCTACACTTGACTCCCGAGATATGATCCTGTTTTCTTGTTTTCTATTCTCTATGTGGATTCACATGGTCATAAGAGGTGTGTCTTAGACACTTCATACTGAGCGCTTAGCTTACCTCATCATTTTAACATTTATCAAGTTACGGGAAGGACGTGGCGGACGACGTTCCTCCATAGTTTTTGATGGGTTAGTGGACTGTTTGACATATTTTGTAGCTATGATCTCATTTATTATTATTATTATTATTATTATTATTATTTATAAACCCTGGGATGACACATATATTATGTATTGATATAGGAAAGGATGGTAACGTTTTTAGTTGACCTCGGGTTTGGGTAAGGACCCGGTTAGCGATTCGGACCCTCGGGTTCGGGTCATTACACAAAACCCCCAAATGGGTCCAAAAATTTGAAATCCCTAGAGTGCACCAAATGAGAAATTGCTTATATCAACGTATAGATCTTGTCATACTCTCCGATTTGCCGCAAACAGTACCCAAAAATTCTAAGTGGTTAGAGATTAATTGAAGTTTGAAGTTTGATTGAGAAAAGAAAAGAAAAATGCAAGGAAATAGGTGTGAGGGAGAGCTAGCCGGGAAGAAAGAAAAATGAGACCAAAAATGTAGTCTCATTGCCTTAAGTGCACTAATGGTGGGTCCCCTTACATTTTTGACTTTTCTAAATTTCTTTTCCACCACACATATATACATATGTAAATAAATTACAAGCATTACAAGACCGAACACTTGTCATCCCAACTTGTCAGCTCAAGACCTTCCCCCATCCGAATCCACAGAGAACGAGAACTCTCTTTAACACTATTCTACTACTGGATTAACAATGCCGGGATAAAAATGTCATCCCAAATCTTAGAATCACAATTTTGGAACTTATCACCATTGGGACATGATTTCCTCTTGTTCTTATTGCAATAGTCTTTTGCGGGACTCCCACCACATTTTAGAAGTTTTTGCATGAGAGTAACGTTTGTGGAGGCACCAACACCCTATTTCTCAACTGTTCCCTCCAGTACACGCAAGAGTCTCTCTAACTCTTATCCCATCATCTTGTGATGGAACTGATAACCATTCATATCATCCTTTCAACCTCCTACTTGATAGAGATGACTTGGAAGTCGGATTTAGACCAGACATGGATGACTTGTGAGAGATTTGGAGCGACATGGAAGACTCCAATCGAGGCTGGTCTAGTTAATTTGATGCATCTATACACGTACACTAACTGAGCTAGGTTGAGGCTACAATAGTGTCTATAAAAAGCTCATTGCTCCCATTTTCATGATCATCCAAACTACTACTCATTAAGCATCAATTTGGTTTAGATATTATGGGCTCATCTTTGCATATCTTCATGCACTTGTTCTTTTTACTCTCCTTTCGTCATGTTTTTGCAGCAACCAACTCTTCTTCTGCTACACAGCCACTATGCCACAGTGATGAGAGCTTTGCGTTGTTACAGTTCAAGCATAGCCTTGTCATAAACAAGTTTGCTTCTAATTATCCTTCTGCTTATCAGAAGGTTAAATCATGGACGATCGGAGGAGAAAGTGGTGATTGCTGCAGCTCATGGGATGGTGTCGAGTGTGACAAGGAAACTGGTCATGTGATTGGCCTTGACCTCAGTAGCAGTTTTCTCTTTGGTTCTATCAACTCCAATAGCACCCTCTTTAACCTTGTTCACCTCCAGAGGCTTAACCTTGCCGACAACCACTTCAATTATTCTCAAGTTCCATCTGCAATTGGCCACCTTCTGAGGCTAACAAGTCTCAATCTTTCTCAAGCTTTTTTTTATGGTCAAATCCCTTCAGAAATCTCACAGTTGTCCAAGTTGACCTCTCTCTGTTTGAGTTACAATCGCTACTTTCCCGACCCAAACCATTATCAGAAACTCTTGCAAATTGAAAAACCGATCCTGATAAACCTAGTTCAGAATTTAACCAAACTTGAAGTACTTGATCTCAATTATGTGACCATGCCTTATGTGTTACCTGATAAATTGGCAAATATGTCTACCCTGAAAGCTCTTGGTCTTAGAGATTGTGAGTTACAAGGTGAATTCCCAAGAGGCATTTTCCTGCTACCGAACCTGCGTGTTCTTCAAGCGCACTATAATCAACAGCTCAGCGGGCATATTCCTGAATTCGACACGAGGAGTCCACTTAAGACACTGATACTCGATCTCTCAAGTTTCTCCGGAGAGCTGCCGAATTCAATCGGCAACCTCGATTCCTTGAATGTTTTGTCTATTTCAGGATGCAACTTCTCAGGGTCAATACCATCTTCGTTTGGTAATCTTACACAGCTTCTTTATGTAAACCTTTTTAACAACAGTTTCATGAACCAGGTTCCCTCTTCCTTCGGTAATCTTACGCAGCTCGCCTATCTTGACCTCTCTAACAACCATTTTACTGGCCAAATACCTTCTTCATTCACAAACCTAGGACAAATCACCAAGTTATCATTTTTTAACAATAATTTCAGTGGTGACAACCTATCATTGCTTGGCAAGCTAACCAAACTCCAGAGTTTGAATCTTGGAGGGAACAACTTAAATTGTGAGATCCCATCTTCTTTTGCAAACCTGACCCAACTTCATATCCTGGGTTTCTCTTCTAATCAATTACCTGGTCGAATTCCATCTTGGCTCACGAACATGACCCAATTAACAGCGCTAGGCCTTTCAGAGAATTTGTTGCAGGGTCCAATTCCTGAGTCAATATCTCAACTTGTGAATATGGAAGTGCTGGATCTTGCCTCAAACAACCTGAGTGGAACAATGAAGGTGTTTCTTACGCTGACGAAACTTTATTGGCTTCAGCTATCGCACAACCGACTAACATTGGACAGCAGTACTAGCTTCGTCAATGCTACTACACTTCCAAAGTTCAAACACTTGGAATTGGCCTCATGCGGCTTAACTGAGTTCCCGGAGTTCTTAAGAGACCAACATGAGTTGCGGTGGCTATCCCTCTCGAACAACAAAATTGAAGGGCTTGTGCCTAAATGGATATGGAACATGAGCAAAGAAACTCTCTTCGCCATGGGCCTTTCTCATAACTTTTTAACTGGCTTTGACCAACCTCCACTACTGCTTCCATGGAGCAGTCTACGCTTGCTAGATCTTGCTTCTAACAAGCTGCAAGGATCACTCCCAATCCCACCGTTGTCCACCTATGCGTATAGTGTCTCAAACAACCAACTGACAGGAGAGATTCCGCCGTGGTTGTGCAATGTGAGTTCTCTTTATGCCCTTGATTTGTCTTACAACCACCTAAGTGGCAGTATTCCTCAATGCGTGGGTAGCTTTTCTGATTCTCTGTCATTATTGAATCTTCAAAGCAACAACTTATCTGGCCCAATTCCTCAAATATACAAGAATGGAAGCAAATTAATGATGATCGATCTGAGCCGAAACCAATTACTGGGTCCGGTTCCAAGATCAATGGTCAATTGCTCACTTCTAGAGATTCTTAACCTTGGGGACAATCAGATCAATGATACTTTTCCCTTTTGGCTAGGAAATCTTTCTGAGTTGAAGGTTCTCATTCTTCGATTCAATAGATTTCATGGTGCAATACAGAACCCTGAATCCAGTTTTGCTTTCCCCAAGTTAAAGGTAATTGATCTTAATCACAATAGGTTTACTGGTAAGTTGCCTTCAGATTACTTCCAAACCTGGAGAGCCATGAGATATGTTGATATCAATCAGTCAACATACATGGGAACAAGCACCGTGTTGATGGTACCGGATTATACTTGGAATGATGATTACTATTACTCCATGACACTAATGAACAAAGGTGTGCAATTAGTGTATGAGCATATCCTAGGTATATTTACCGCCATTGATCTCTCAAGTAACAAATTGGAAGGAGACATTTCAGAATCTATTGGGATTCTCAGGGGGCTTCGCACGGTCAATTTTTCCAACAACAATCTTATTGGTCACATCCCATCTTCCTTTGTGAATTTAACAGTGCTTGAGTCACTGGATCTTTCTCAAAATAATCTCTCTGGAGAGATACCTCAGCAACTAACTCAACTCACTTTTCTTGAATTCTTCAATGTCTCTCATAACCATCTCACTGGGCATATACCAAGAGGGAATCAATTTGATACCTTCGAAAAGAGTTCATTCGATGAAAATGAAGGGTTGTGTGGAGACCCTTTGTCGAAGAAATGTGGCAATTCAGAGGCAACACCACCACCTCCAAACATTGAAGAAGATGAAGATTCAAAGTTCCCAAGCAAATTTGATTGGCTTATTATATGCATGGGATACGGAAGTGGATTAATAGTTGGGTTTGTTATTGGGCAGACTGTGACCACAAGGAAACATGAATGGTTTGTGACAACTTTTGGAAGGAGGCAACAAAAACAGAGTAGGCAGAAAAGGAAGGGTCGAAGAAACTGAAATGCCTCTCCGTAAGGTAAACTTCTACGTCTCAGTTAATTCTTCTCACAAGTTCTACTTTTCTTGATAATCACATCAAACCATAAATGCATATACTTCTCTTGATCATCTTCAATCTACTTTGAAGGTATTTGCTTTCAAGACAGTTAGCAATTAAGCACAAATTTGAATCTCTCTAGAATAGGGACTAACAATTCTATTCACTTTGAATACACTCTGACACAGACACACACACACACACATATAAAGCTATCATTTCTCAGTATGGTCCCTGCATATTACCATTGTTGGCATAAAAAATGGGCATGTTACATTAATAATTAGGAAATTATTGAGTAGATATTGTAACTTTTTGTGGTCAATTTATCACATTTGTGGTTTTGGAAGCAGGAGAGCATTACATATTGAAGTTACTGAGCAGGAGAGGCCCAACGATCAGATCAGTCCTTGGCTACTCCATTTGTTTCTTTTTGTCTCTAGCTTTATGTAATTTTCATTTTTTATCTTTTATCTTTGTTGTACTTTAATTCCTTATACAGCTTTATTTAATGAAAGATAAAAATTAATTATGAAAAGTAGATAGTTTCACTAATACCCATAGTTGTAAAATAGTTAGTGTTAGTGTAATGATAATGACAGAGGGAAAGGAAAAATAGAAATAAAGGAAAAACCCGTGGAAGGAGGTGAAGAGAGAATGAGAGGGAAAACTAAAAAAAAAAGGTGCAAGGATAATTAATCTTTTGCACTCATTATTAATTTTTTTTTTATTAGTTAGGGGATAATAATAGAAGAAAATAAAAATTTTAAGAGATAATAAACTCACAAGAGCAAAGAAATAATAATTTTTTAGAACTATCTATTTGTCTGAGGCCTTAGGCACTGCCTAAATTTCCTATGGCTTTGTTTGGTTGGATGGAAATAGTAAGAAAATAAAATAAAAAATGAAAAAAAAGTGAAGTGAATAAAAAGAAAATTAATTTTCTAATATGTATTTATTTAGAATAAAAATTTATTCAAGAAAATTGTTGGAAAATATCATATTATAGTTAAGATACTTAAATTGTTCTTATTTTATAAAAATAGTGAAATAATAAAGAATTAATTTGTAGTAATGTATATAAAAAAAAAAAATTATGGAATTTTTTATTAATTTAAATCTTGCAAACTACTATTTATTCAATTCAAATGAAAAACAACTAGAAATGGAATTCAAGTGAATTAAAATCCTATCAATAATAAAGTTGTAATTGGACTTTAAATCTTTGAAACTCAGTAAAAAAAAAGTATTATTGTTCTTAAAAAATTGATGAAATTATTAGGTAAAATAATACTACGTATCAAAGAAGTTGTTGGGTAATACAAAATAAAAAGGTGTTAAAATAAAATATTTACCAATCCTAATTTTTCAGAAATTTTCATTTTTTATGTGACCAAACTTTTTAAAAAAAATTAATTTTTTTATCGCTTTTCTTTTTCTGTTGTTGAAACGTATGACTTCAGCCAGTAGTATATAGAATCACTGTTTAAAATCCTCGACTGAGCAATCATGGCCCACCAAAAATCTTGAAAACTTTAGAACACTAGATAAAATAACCACAACCATTCTTGAATTAGTAATATATCACACTTTTTGTCAACATTAAAATCGCAACTAAATTGTGATTTGGACCTCAAAAAAGCTATTTTTAAATGTTACGTAAGGCAATTGTTTATGGTTGCTGCAACGTTACTAATACGGAGGAAACAACAATCACACTCTCAGATATAGGTTTCAAGTTAAATATTTGTAAATAAACTTATAAACATGGATCAGTTTTAATCGAAGTGGTTTTTGTTACAAGGTGTAACGACCCTAAATGATGTCAAAAATATATATATATATATATATTCGGCGTGACCTTTACTAAAAATCGTCCTACAACAACCTGTTTAAATGCATTTTTAATCTGTCACAACACAATAAACATATAATACATTTCATGGTGGTACAACCACATACTATATCATCCAGATATTATAATTACAGTCCCAAATTACAATATTAATATCAAATGTCCATATTTTACAATATTTAGATAACTTATACTTATAGCCCATTGGTATACTTATAATAAGAGTCCATAAGTCGTCATACAAAATACATTATGCTTAGTTTTACAAAAATAGTGAGACCCAAGTACAAAAATAACAAAATAAGCTCCTAATTCATACTAAGTCTGTGGTAGAATGTCATCCGCTACTTCTTTCCCGTTTCCTGAAAAAAAAAAATGTTAAATAAAAGGGACGAGCAAAATTGCTCAGTAGGTGGTGCCTAAGACACACCTCTTATGTCCCCGTGAATCCAAATAAAGAATAGAACAATAGGAATCGGGGTCATACTATGTCGGGAAAGTACAACATTAACAATATTATCAGGTAGGGAAAATAACACATAGAACATACTTTTTACACATAACATAAATTTAACACATATTCACATACTCAAATTTCAAGGTTTAGTCACCTTAAAACAAAATTAACTCAATCTAGCATAATAAGTAACAAATTATAATAATTATACTCACTAAGGCACAAGAATATATGGATTATAGACCCCTACCTCACTTTTAAGCAAAATCCATAATTTTTACCTCAAACCCTCAAAATGGGTCAAGATTTTCGGACTCCCTAGGTTTCTCAAAATTGAAATTGTTGGTACACACATGTAGAGCTCGCCATGCTCTCCGTTTTGCCACAAACGGCACTTAAAAACACTAAGAAATGAGAGAGAAATCAAGCCTTGAATTTGGAAAATAAAAAAATAATAATAAAAAAAAGAAAAAAGAAAAAAGAAAAAGAGAATGCTGAGAGGAAGAGAGACTGGCAATAGCAAAGGGTGAATGAGATTACAGAGAACAAAACAAAAAAAAATAAGGTGGTCTTATGACCACTTTAAAGAATAACTGTGAGTCCCTCTACTAATATATATATATATATATATATATATATATATATAACTTAAACATTACACAAGGAATTGGACTTGCAATTTCAAAGGTGGTCCACTCTGAAAATGGCACAACATCATTAGTATTCTAGATTCGTTTGGAGTTCAAAATCTCAAAAAAAAAAATAATAATAATAAAAAAAAAACAAATAAATAAATAAAATAACTAAATCAATTCAATATATATATATATACACACACACACAAACACATTCTACATTATAGTAATACAGTATAATTTATAACCCACGAAATGGCCGGTTTATATCTTTTTTCTGAAGCAGAAGACCAATAACATGTGAACACCAAATTGTTATTTTGGATTTGGAATTAGAGAAAATTTAGTACAAAATTTGTACTAAATTTTTTTCAATTTCAAGTTCATGGTGTTGATTTAGTGCTACTAAATATATTATGAAAGAAATTGGTGACATAGAATTTTATCATAAATAGTCATAGATTATTTGATAGAAGTGTGTGTATATATATATATATATATATATATATATATATATATTTGAAAAAAGGGATGCACTCTCCAACTCCACTTCCACAGGCAGAAATCATTACAAAATTCAAGATAATGTAATTTCGGCCAATTGTAACCTGTCATGTGATTAAACGTGTCAGCTTAATATATATATAGTCAGAAACCATCAAATAATTTATCGGACAACCACCAAGTTGAAAGACAAGCAACGAAAAAGGGGCCACATGATTGTGTCTAAGGGCTTGGATCGATTTCAGCCTAAGTAGCAAATTCATATATATATATATATATATATATATATATATATATTGACAGCATAATAATCTACTAGATCGTAATTATTGGCCCAAGGTTTCATTTTAAAGAAAAAGTCGGGGCCATGTCATTAGGATTTGTGTCATAACATCCGCCTTTATCGCTCACCTGGTTATAAGCAGGCAAAAGCCTAAGATGCGCGGGGTGAAGATATTGGGTGTGCCTGCCTGGATATACCACTTTGTTGGTATATTCATTCAATAAAAATATAATAGATCATGTTGTTATCAACAATTTTTTAAAGTATGTGTGCGGTGTGTCAAATTTTATGAGAAATTATTATATAGTCATTATCAATTTATACTTGATGGACCAATTCAATAAAAGTTAATGTTGAGATTTCTTTGTAATATATTAAAACATTCTTGTAAGATTTTTTTGTAATATATTAAAACATTCTTGTGACGGCTATTTTCTTAATTTAAAAAGTATGATTTTAACTGACTCACTCAAATGTCAATGATTCCAGGTGTTTAATAATTTCTCTAACATTACAAGCCCACCCAATATTAAATCGTATGCATGACGCCATAAAGCAATAGTCTTTTCACCTGTGTGACATGATTTCCTCTTGTTATGATTGCAATAGTCCTTTGTGGGTCTCTCGGCCTTTTTAGAAGATATTTGCATGATACTGACGTACGTTTTGTTGGAGGCACCAACTCTCTTTTTCTCAATTGCTCCATCCAGCACATGCATGCATGAGTCTCTCTAATCCCCTAGCTACTTGATAACCATTCCTATCATCTTTTCAATCCCCTACTTGATAGAGTAGACTTGAAGTCGGATTTGGAGCGACGTGGAAGACTCTGAAAAAAAAAATTACTGGAAAACTGAAGGGATAAAAATGTCATCCCAAATCCAAACGATAGAATATATTTGGTAACTTATCACCTGTGTGACATGATTTCCTCTTGTTCCTGTTGCTAGTCTTTTGCGGGACTCCACCACATTTTAGAAGTTTTTGCATGACAGTAATGTTTGGTGGAGGCACCAACACCCTTTTTCTCAACTGCTCCATCCAGAACATGCGTGGGTCTCCAATCCCATCACTTTGTGATGAAACTGGTAATCATTCGTATTATTTTTTCAATCCCCTACTTGATAGAGAAGACTGAAGTCGGATTTGAAGCGATATGGAAGACCTGTGAGATTTGGAGCGACGTCGAAGACTCCAAGTTGGTCTAGTTAATTAATTTGATGCATCTATACACACTAATTGCGCTAGCTGTGGCCACAGTATTAGATACATATTATGGGCTCATCTTTGCATATCTTCATGCACTTGTTCTTTTTACTCCCCTTTGGTCTCGTTTTCTTTCTGTTTTTTATCACGCCACGAGTCTAGGTCTAGGACTCGGCAAGTCAGGACATGACTTATTTCATACTCCATAGTATATTGATATGGTCAAAACACAACTATATATCATCACAAAGAAAACATATTAGTAAAAAAATACACACAAAAATGAAATGGGAGAGAGAGGGTTGTCAATTTACCATGCTAAATTTTTACTCATTTTTTAATTATGAAATTCAGGATATAAGAGTAATTTCATTTGAATTTTTAATGTTTGGAATGTAGGGGAGGTCATTGCAACAAAATGCACAAATTTGTCGAACCTCATTAGATCCATGTAATTTAACTACGTTGCATATTTAAAAACTGATCAGCAACTTAGGAATGTCTACCGGGCAGGTATAGGACGGGGCATTCCTTTCTCGAACTAGCCCATACTTTATAATATATTTTTTATACCCGTCACGAGTAGGTATGGGATGGGAATACTATCTCGTTTACAAACCAAATGAAAAAGTCCATCCCTACCCTGTGCCCGTTTAACCAGGAAAAAAAAAACCCTTTGTTATCTCTTTGTCATCCCTTTCTCAGATTTCAGAGACGAATTTTTTTTGAACATATATATATATGTATAGATATACAACTATGTTTTGCATATACATATTCTATCAATACATACATAGATGGGGAAATAAATGACAATTACCAGCATTTGAAGCCTTAAGAAAAAATTCATGGTTCATATTGTTCGTGATTGCCAATTTGGTGGCACATTGAGGCTTTAAAAAGAATCCTTTGCATAGTTTGAGACTCTTTATCCACATTTGAGAGAGATAGCTGATAGATGAACGTGATAATTTAATTCCAAAGAATTATGGTTTCGGAATCGATTCCTACTATGTGCAAAAAATTTCTTGGAGTGGGAGGGGTGTTTACTAACTAAAACAATGATAATTTTTAAATTGCCAAAGAGGGAGTACTGATGGAGGAGTGGAGGAGTCGACAGTTGTTACGCGCTGAGAGTGTGTGGAAGGCATAAAGATAAAAGGGTAATTAAATTGCAATCACACACCCCAGGTTTGGATTAAAACTAGTAACTACAACTTAGTTCTTTTTTGGACAATAACATACTAAGTTTGGTAAATTAAAAAGGTAAATGTTTCTTATTGCCCTTTGATATATGAATTGATTTATTTAAATTATAAATTACCATTTTAACTTTCTCAAAGCATTTTAACCTTCTGAAACCTTAATTTAATTGATCAATCTCAAATTTATTATCAATAGTTTAGTAATTTGGATCCATTTGGTTTTACGAACTTGATATGCTTCACTAATTAGGTTTAATGTGTAATTAAGTCCAATGAGTGGAAAATTAATTAGTCCAATTATTGACTGCAAATGTTATTAAACACTCTGCTTCCCTTGAATTGTTTTATTTTATTTTTTTCTTTTTAGTAAAAATAAAATAATTAACTTTTATAAAACACACTCGTGTTTTTTTTATTTATAATTAATCCAAAAGTATTTGTGCTATCATATTTTTAAGCTAATTCCATTTAAATACTTTGAAAAAGTTAAAATGATAAATTCATAATGTAAATAAGTCAAAAGATAATAAGGTACTTTTTTTTTTGATTTGGGGGTGTCATTGTTTAACGAGCGAATTGCAAAAAACCCTCCTTAACTATTAGTGAGTTGCGAAAAATCCCCCTCATGAATAATTTTAGCTAAAATTTCCTCTCATTTATCTCAGAAAGGGTGTTTTTAACTGAAGTCAGTTTCATAATTTTTTGTGATAATTTTTTGTACGAAATCTTCATTTTTCAGTCCCACCAAGAATATTTTAGTCCGGCAAAGCTTCAAACCACACCAACTAGCCTCAAGCGATATCAATTGGATGTTCCCAGCTCATGATTGGGCCTGTTCTCAAACTTTACAATAGCTCTCAAACCCATAAACAAAGAGGATAATCTCACCAGTGGCCCCAATTATTATTATTATTAAGTTTTATTTTTTTCGGAAGCTACCCCAATTATTATTTGCACGTGTATAAATGAACAATATATATATATATATATATATAATGAAATTACGGACTTTTTTTTTCGATAATTGAAATTACAGACTTTTGCAGGAGGAATTGGATATGAAAGAGAGGGACAGTGATTTAGTCTTGAATTGCTAAATATATACATGTATATATTATGCAATGGATGATGATCATTGAGGGAAACCAACTCACTTTACCAGCACACTGAAGATCAGCGGTAATGGAGAATGGAAGATTCCACCCATCAAGGTCGTTGTCGGCCGAGAGTGAATTGGGGAGAGATGATGGAGTGAATGAGAGAGAGATTAAATGGGAATAAATTAGGACAAAAGAGAGATTACATCAAAGAATTTATCAGAAGGCATACCCTCGAAAAACCCGAAACTTCGAGATTGAAGAGGATAAAAGACGGCGCCGGCTATGCTGCGGGCTAGAAGCTGTGGAATCGTTCCAATCGACGAATTTCGTAACATGACCTCTACTGCGCCACCAACTTATGCACAGCACCGCCTTCTAAGACGGTGTTCCAATAGCCGAATTGAGAGTTAGAGGTGGGTCGCCGGTTTTACTAAAGAAAAGCTTGCTAGAAATATCCTCACTGGACTGCTATTGAAGGAGAAAAGTTAGCAAGAAGAGAAAGCTTCAGCGACCAAATTTGATTCCATGAACTTTGGCGTCCAAAGTAGCAGCGGCGTCATAGTCCGGCAAATCCAGAGCTTCAACTGCTAAGTCCAGCAAGCTTCTTCAACCAGTCGCCGGAACTGCGACCTTGTTCAACCCTCCATTGCGACGAGACAACAATGGATTTCCATGAGAGCGACCAGCCTAGCGACCCAGGCCGTTGCCGAGATAAAAACAGTGACCTTATGGTCGCTACTCCGGTAGTAACTCCGGCCACCACAACTGGAGCAGCCCCACCAGCGGGCGGATGTTTTGCAATGTATAAAGGATAATTTGGTCAGAAAAATTATCACACAAATTAGTTGAGCGGAGTTAAGTTAAAATCACCCCTCAGAATAGTTGAGGGTATTTTTTTTTGTTAAAAATATTTATAAAGAAGATTTTTTACAATTGACTAATGCTCAAAGGGAATTTTTTGCTATTCACACTTAGTTTAATTTACCAAACTTGAGAGATTATCAAACTTGAGAGATGTCGTTGCTGAGAGATGTTGTTATCTTTAATCTAAACTTGAGAGTGTGAGTGTATTTTACCCGAGATAAAATTATAAAACCTAACTTAGGAAATTAGGATTGTTTAGAGAATAGTTAAAAGTGTGTGCATTATTGGGATGTGAGTTGCTTTAGAATAGAGAAGTCTATAACCATAGAGCACATATAATATATATTTATATTCGCAGGATTTATTTCAGGAAGACCAAAAGTCTAAAACGTAAAACACTATTAGAAATCATAAGTGTTGTAAGAACACCTAGTCTCTTCTCGTAGATGTGTCTAATTAAAATTCATTCTTGACCTCGTTTTCCTCTTCCTCTTCCCTTCCATCGTGTCAAGTGCTAATTAATCCAAAAACTGGTCTTAACCATTTTTTGTTTCTAATTTGATCGATTATATGTCTTTCAAGAAAATGGGCATCAAAACCAGGGTTCAAATTCATGGCTTATACTTACTGACCGGTGATAGTTTCAGCGTGCACCCAAGGATAAGAAGAGATGATTTGCAGTATATATTATTCTGGATAAATTTAGGGACATCCTAATCCTTCCCTTTAAGTTGGAGAATTTAGTTTCGCATATACAGATAAGATGTGATATGTGTGTGTAATGTGTATTGGCCCTTTCATTTTATTCAGGGGATTGAACCTAGCAAGTGGAGTCTTCCTCCAGGAAGAGGTCCCTTACCTACGCTTGGGGAACCTTGCCGATTCAGAGAGACGGCTATACGCGGGCGTGCCAAAATCAATGGGCTTGGTTCAATTATGCGAGAATGGTCCAACTTAGTCTCTTTTGAAGAAATAGTGGACCAGGGGATTGTAGAAAGAGAACATGAACTTTCTGAAATGAGTTCTAATTGCCTTAGATGAAAGACTTGACAGTGTGTAACGAATTGCAATGAAACATAAACTTAATTTTAAAAAATGAAAAGTTACTGGAAATATATTAACGTGAATTGAAATTATAAGAAACTGGAATGAAATGGAAAATAATATTATAGAAGGAATACAAATAAGATGAAATAACTAATAAAGGAAGTTGAATCAAAATAGAATAATTAAGTTGAGAAAGTTGAATTAAACTAGGAAGTTTAACTAAAATGGAATTTGACTAAATTAACTAATCAAGAGCATGATTGAAAAAGAAATTTGATTATACTAATGATTCTGAACGTGTTGAACCCTTGCCATTACAATTATTTATAGTCTAAACAAACAGCTAACCAAAATATGAATTTAAACCCTACCTCATCTAAAAATAACTATATCACAACTACTAAAATCTATCTTATTCTTATATTTCATAATAATCTTGTTTTATGATCAACTCTGCATAATAATTTGTAATTTCAAGTCCACCTCATCACTACATCACTGCCACGTAACCTGTCAGAAAATGGTGTCAACACGGACCTGACCGACTTTTGTGGAAGCCAATTCTCGGTCTCTTCCAGTCAAGTAAGTATAGACCAAAATTCACGTGCCAAGACCTTTCACTAAATGACATTTCAATTAGGAAAAAGAGTTTTGGGTAGGGAACTAAAAAGAAGACAATTAAGGGTACTATTTGTAATGGATTGGCCTCAACCACTCAATCCGAAAACTTGACTTTGTTGATTAGTGTTACAAATTCACTTGTAAGTTCAAGACTTTCCTATGTGAGATAAGAACACTATGCTAGAACGCTGTAGGGATAAAAAAAACTGTGGGACATGATTTCCTCTTGTCCTTGTTGCGAATTTGCAATAGTCTTACGCGGGACGTTTTAGAAGTTTTTGCATGATTAACACCCTTTTTCTCAACACAAGGCTGTAATCCCATCATGACGGGATTAAAGTGGTAACCATTCGTATCATCTTTTCAATCCCGTACTCGATAGAGAAGACTTGAAATCGATTTGGAGCGACATGGAAGACCTGTGAGATTTGGAGCCAAGTGGAAGACCTGTGAGATTTGGAGCGGCGTGGAAGACTCGAGGTTGGTCTAGTTAATTTGATGCAGCTATTCACTAATTGCATTATAAAAAGGTCATTGCTCCCATTTTCATGATCATCCAAAACTACTACTCATTAAGCATCAACTTGGTTTAGATATTATGGGCTCATCTTTGCATTTCTTCATGCACTTGTTCTTTTTACTCTCCTTTCGTCTTGTTTTTGCAGCAACCAACTCTTCTTCTGCTACACAGCCACTATGCCACAGTGATGAGAGCTCTGCCTTGTTACAGTTCAAGCATAGCCTTTTCATAAACAAGTTTGCCTCTTATTATCCTTTTGCTTATCAGAAGGTTAAATCATGGGCGATCGGAGGAGAAAGTGGTGATTGCTGCAGCTCATGGGATGGTGTCGAGTGTGACTGGGACACCGGTCATGTGATTGCCCTTGACCTCAGTAGCAGTTTTCTTTACGGTTCTATCAACTCCAATAGCACCCTCTTTAACCTTGTTCACCTCCAGAGGCTTAACCTTGCCGACAACCACTTCAATTATTCTCAAGTTCCATCTGCAATTGGCCACCTTCCGAGGCTAACAAGTCTCAACCTTTCTCATTCTTGGTTTTATGGTCAAATACCTTCAGAAATCTCACAATTGTCCAAGTTGACTTCTCTAGATCTGTCTTACAATGTCTACTTTCCCGACGGAGCCGTCCCAAACCATTATATGAAACCCTTTGAAATTGAAAAACTGATTCTGATAAACCTAGTTCAGAATTTAACCAACCAGTTGGGTGACCATTGTCACGGGCCTAGAGATTTGGCGCAGCGGCACGGCCCGTGCGGCACCAAGGCGTTGCTTCAGCTCGCGCAAGCGCCCTGGTCAGCCACCACGACCTGCCCTCCCAAGGATACATGCTGACTGGTTTCGGCCTGCCATGGCCTCGTCAGGGGAACGGCTCCAGCTCCCGACCAGTTTGTGCAGGGATGGCCAACTCCCTTCTTCATAGTCAAGTCCACGACCAGCGACAAGCACCTCGAACTGAACCGAGTCGACCTGCCTGAACTCTGAAGAGGTACCATCCTGTGGTCCTGCACGCCCCTTCCCTGGAACCATTCCCAGTCAATGAATGTTCTTAGCCAACCAGCATGCGTATCTTCTATGCTCATGGCGTCGTTAGGAATCGGATCGTGACATTCTCCCCCACCCAAATCCTGCGACGCCCTCGTCGCAGTGCGGCGCTGACTCCGCTGCGTCCAACATTCCAAAGCCTGTCTCCTCCAAGTGGTATGCTCGCCTGCCCACCATCGCTTCCTTGTACAACCCCTGGCTGCACTCGCCCAATGATAGGGTTTCGGGCTAAAGGGACGCCCACTTCTTCGGGACGCAACCCCACGTTATGCCGCCTCCGCGACACCCCGAGCAAACAAGAGCCCTCCGGCTGACTTGATACCCGCCCTTCACAACGGTTTGCACGCCTCTTGAACTTGCAAGAACTTTGGTGCGCGCGGCCCTCCGGCCATCCGATGCGCGCGGCCCTCCGGCTTAAAGGACGCATCTTCATGGGGAGATGGAGGCTCTCCTCCAACAGCATTGATTACCCACCGATGCTTTTTCAGTGCACCGTCTTCATTCTCAAGACCCCCGGATCGACAAGGGGGCACACCTCTGTGCTTTTCCCCAAGTCCTGCTCTGATACCATTTGTCACGGGCCTAGAGATTTGGCGCAGCGGCACGGCCCGTGCGGCACCAAGGCGTTGCTTCAGCTTGCGCAAGCGCCCTAGTCAGCCACCACGACCTGCCCTCCCAAGGATACATGCTGACTGGTTTCGGCCTGCCATGGCCTCGTCAAGGGAACGGCTCCAGCTCCCGACCAGTTTGTGCAGGGATGGCCAACTCCCTTCTTCATAGTCAAGTCCACGACCAGCGACAAGCACCTCGAACTGAACCGAGTCGACCTGCCTGAACTCTGAAGAGGTACCATCCTGTGGTCCTGCACGCCCCTTCCCTGGAACCATTCCCAGTCAATGAATGTTCTTAGCCAACCAGCATGCGTATCTTCTATGCTCATGGCGTCGTTAGGAATCGGATCGTGACACCATGCCTTATTTGGTACCTGATAAATTGGCAAATATGTCTACCCTGACAGCTCTTGCTCTTGATAATTGTGATTTGCAAGGTGAATTCCCAAGAGGCATTTTTTTGCTACCGAACCTGCAAATTCTTGTCGTGTCATATAATCAACAGCTCAGCTGGTATTTCCCTGAATTCGACAAGAGGAGTCCACTTAAGATACTGGAACTGGCTGGCACAAGTTTCTCCGGAGAACTGCCGAATTCAATCGGCAACCTCGATTCCTTGAATATTTTGTATCTTTCAGGATGCAACTTCTTAGGGTCAATACCATCTTCCTTTGGTAATCTTACCCAGCTTGTTTATCTAAACCTTTCTAACAACAATTTCATGAATCAGGTTCCTCCTTCATTCGGTAATTTTTCACAGCTCGCCTATCTTGACCTCTCTTACAACCATTTCACAGGCCAAATACCTTCTTCATTCACAAACCTCAGACAAATCACTCAGTTATTCCTTTTTAACAATAATTTCAGTGGTGACAACCTGTCATTACTTGGCAAGCTAAACAAACTCCAGAGTTTGGGTCTTGGAGGGAACAACTTCTCAGGGTCAATACCATCTTCCTTTGGTAATCTTACCCAGCTTGTTTATCTGGTCCTTTCTAACAACGGTTTCATGAATCAGGTTCCTCCTTCCTTTGGTAATTTTACACGGCTCGCCTATCTTGACCTCTCTTACAATCATTTCACTGGCCAAATACCTTCTTCATTCACAAACCTCAGACAAATCACTCGGTTATTCCTTTCTCACAATAATTTCAGTGGTGACAACCTGTCATTACTTGGCAAGCTAAAACAACTCCAGAGTTTGAATCTTGGATGGAACAACTTAAATTGTGAGATCCCATCTTCTTTTGCAAACCTGACCCAACTTCGACAACTAGGTCTCTCTTCTAATCAATTAACTGGACGAATTCCATCTCAGATTATGAACATGACCCAATTAACATTGCTAGACCTTTCAATTAATTTGTTGCAGGGTCCAATGGAGGTGTTTCTTTTGCTGAAGAAACTTTATTGGCTTCGGCTATCGGACAACCCACTAACATCGCTCACGGGTACTAGCTTCGTCAATGCAAGTACACTTGCACAGTTCCAAAACTTGGAATTGTTCTCATGCGGCTTAACTGAGTTCCCGGAGTTCTTAAGAGACCAACATGAGTTGCAGTGGCTATCCCTCTCGTACAACAAAATTGAAGGACTCGTGCCTAAATGGATATGGAACATGAGCACAGAAACTCTCTTCTGCTTGCAGCTTGCTCACAACTTTATAACTGGCTTTGACCAACCTCCACTAGTCCTTCCGTGGAGGAGACTACGCCTTCTACATCTTGAGTATAACAACCTGCAAATATCACTCCCCATCCCACCGTTCTCCACCTTCGATTATAACATCTCAAACAACCAATTGACCGGAGAGATTCCACCACTGATCTGCAATGTGACTTCTCTTTATGCCCTTGATTTGTCTTGCAACAACCTAAGTGGCAGTATTCCCCAATGCTTGGGCAGCTTTTCTGATTCTCTGTCATTACTGAATCTTCAAAGCAACAACTTATCTGGCCCAATTCCTCAAATATACAATGATGGAAGCCAACTAGTGATGCTCGAACTGAGCCAAAACCAATTACAGGGGCCGGTTCCAAGATCACTGGCCAATTGCACGCTTCTACAGCTTCTTAACCTTGGGGACAATCAGATCAATGATACATTTCCCTTTTGGTTGGGAAATCTTTCCGAGTTACAGGTTCTCATTCTGCGATTCAATAGATTTCATGGTGCAATTCAGAATCCCGAATCCAATTTTGCTTTCCCCAAATTATGCGTAATTGACCTTGCTCACAATGGTTTTACTGGTAAGTTACCTTCTGATTACTTCCAAACCTGGAGAGCCATGAAAGATGTTGATATCAAACGGTTAACATACATGGGGACAAGCAAAATGTTGGGAGGACCTGATAATCAGTGGTTTGATGATTACCATTACTCGATGACACTAATGAACAAAGGTGTGCAATTATTGTATGAGCATATCCCAAGTATATTTACTGCCATTGATCTCTCAAGTAACAAATTTGAAGGAGACATTTCAGAATCTATTGGGATTCTCAAGGGGCTTCACACGGTCAATTTCTCCAACAACAATCTTACCGGTCACATCCCATCTTCCTTTGTGAATTTGACACAGCTCGAGTCATTGGACCTTTCTCAAAATAAGCTCTCTGGAGAGATACCTCAAGAAGTATCTCAACTCACTTTTCTTGCATTCTTCAATGTCTCTCATAACCATCTCACGGGACCTATACCCCGAGGGAATCAATTCGGTACCTTCGAAAGCAGTTCATTCGATGGAAATGAATGGTTGTGTGGAGACCCTTTGTCGAAGAAATGTGGCAATTCAGAGGCAACACCAATACCTCCAAACTATGAAGAAGATGAAGATTCAGAGTTCCCAAGCAAAATTGTTTGGCTTATTATATGCATGGGATACGGAAGTGGATTAATAGTTGGGTTCGTTGTTGGGCAGACTCTGACCACAAGGAAACATGAATGGTTTGTAACTACTTTTGGAAGGAGGCAACAAAAACAGAGTAGGCAGAAAAGGAGGGTACGAAGAAACTGAACTGCCTCAAGGTAAACTTCTACATCTCTGTTAATTCTCCTCACTTCTATAAGATCTACTTTTCTTGATCGTCACATCAAAACCATAACTGCATATAATTCTCTTCATCATCTCCAATCCACTTTGAATCTCTCTAGAATAAGGACTAACAATTCTCTTCATTTTGGATTCAACTTTGACACACACATAAAGGTATAATTTTCTTAGTATGGTCCCTATTTATTACTTTGTTGGGAGTTGTAGATTGTGTGACATTATTTACACGGGAGATTCCCAAACTCAAATTTGCATTTGTATGGTTGGTAATTTGAAGTATTGTTACTGTACCAAATAATGATACACGCATATATATGTGCATAAAGGTTCCATTTCTCAGTATGGTACATATGCACGCTGTGAAGTACATAAATATTTTTGGTTAGTGTTGGCACCAAAAATGGGCGTATTAGTGACACTACTACATTAATTTCATATCTGACATTTTGATTTTGCAAGCAGGAGGAGAGCAGGAGAGCCCCAACGATCAGGATCAGCCCATGGCTACTCCATGTCTTTCTTTCTATCTATAGCTTCATGTAATTTCCATTTCTTGCAATTTCTCTCTTCATGTCTTTTATCTTTATTGCACTTTAATTCCTTGTACGACTTTATTTTCCATGCAATTAGTTTTATGTACCTCACATTAATGTGATTTTCTCTTCTTTCATTTCCTGTCACACTTATGAATCAAATCTATTTATAGTTTCAAATTAAATTGGTGTGTGTGTGTATATATATATATATACACACTAGTAAAAGTGTACGTGTTGAATGTTTTCTAACTTATATAATTTATATTTTCATATATTTTTTAATTGTTTATGGTTTTATAAAAAAAATAGGCAAAACAGTTTCAGGCCCAGAATGCCTTAGAAAGTAATAATTGTCACCTCAAAATAAACAAAATAAGATTTTTCATTAATGAATGAATGAAAACTATAAACATTTAAAATATATATAAAAATAAAATTATATAATTTACAAAACATTCATAAATAAATACTATATAAAAATTCTATATATTATAAAATCCGAAAGGGTACCAACAATTTTTAGATTGTAATAATTGTCAGCTCAAAAGAAACAAAATATATTAGAAAATCCAAAACTATAACTATTTGAAAATAAAAGTATTCTTAAATTATTTATATCTCAATCTTTATCTTTTTTTTGCATATTTCATTTCTTCATGAAATAAATCATTGTCAAGTGTCAATTCTTTTAATTCTACCACCGCAAAATAAGTTTTCACGACTTCTTGTTGAGTATTGTCTATCCTCACCAGAAAAAGAAAAGATTTTCCTTTGCAGCTTGTCACTTTGTTGTTGAATTCATCCATGTCCCACAAAAAGAACAAATATAATTTAGAACTATTAAGAATTTAAAGCTATTGAGAAATTCAAGTAAATATTTTTTTTTTTAATTTAATTAAAATTTTATGAATAAGGGTGGAAAATTACCTCCATTTGTAATTGCAATAAATCATTTAGTGAACAATTTATTAATGTTTGACAATCATTGAACACTGTTAGGGTTACAAGTGTTCCAATATGTTCCATACTTCGCAATTTTATTATCATCATGAATCTACACATGAGTAAAGACAAAGAATTATGTATTTGTAATATTATTAAACCATTGAAATAAATACAATAATAAGATTTTATGATATAATAATACTTTTGAAAACATTTTGGGTCTGTTGTGTTGCATCGAGGATAGTATACTCTATCTTTTTCAACTTTAATTTTCTTGTTGCATTTCTCACACGCGTTGTACCACGGTTCGCGATCATTAACGATATTTTTAATTGTTGCTTCGAAAGAGTAATTTGTTTTCTGCAGGTTGTGCAACAAAATATAACTTCTCAATATATAAATTGAATATAAAAATGTGATACACAATTAAGGAAGATTAAGAAATATACTGAAATTTAATACCTCAAAGGACATTGTAGATTTTCCTATTATGTCTTGAAGTTTGCCTTTTTCAGCACCATTGAATTTTTGATCTTTTGTACTGGAAATCAAACTTGTTATATCTTTGTTATTTATGTTCTCTTTGAACCTGTCCGCATATAATATGCATTCTTTTGTTCAGTGTTTAGAGTCGCCACAACATTGTAATCTTCAAAAGGCGTAACAATGGCATATTCATCGACAATCTCTTTAGTAGAACTGTGATTACATACATCACTGGACAATATATATGGCTGGTCAAATTGTTTTACACTTCTCCCCATGCTTATTAAGTAGCCATCTGTACTCTTAAGAGTTTCATTGGCTCGATAAGTTGCAGAGGAATTACTTGTGCATGGAAAATCTTCTGACATTACATCAACATAGTCGTCCCATAATTTTCTGACATTGCTGGGCTCACAATAAACCAGTAGAGTAGCGAAAAGTCGGCGGAGTGCCGTTGGCATTTGGAAGCACACGGCGTCGTCAAGACATTCTACAATGTTGTTATCACTTTCACAAAGACCCCTTATTTGTGCTGATTCTTTAAAAGTTGTACATTTCTCCCCGTTAACAGTTAATAGATCGGCATATGATGTTGGTCTACGCATGTGGTTTAATAACACTTTCAAGTAGTACCGTTCTCCTTTAGAAAGGTTGGCTGCGTTGACTCTCCCGATTAATTTTTATAAATTTTATTAGGTAATTTGTAATTTGAAAAGTAATACTATACTTGATCTTAGCTAAAAGGCCGAGAAAGGTTAGCTAAAATGTCGGACCCAAAAAAAATTAAACTCTTTAAATTAACTTTTATAAATTTTATTAGGTAATTTGTAATTTGAAAAGTAGTATTCCAATTGATCTTAGCCAAAAGGCTGAACCCAAAAAAATTAAGTACTTCACTTAATCTTAGTCAAAAGGCTGAGAAAGGTTAGCCAAAAGGCCGGACCTAAAAAAATTTAGTACTTCACTTGATCTTAGCCAAAAGGCCGAGAAAGGTTAACCAAAAGGCCGGACCTAAAAAAATTTAGTATTTCACTTGATCTTAGCCAAAAGGCCGAGAAAGGTTAACCAAAAGGCCGGACCTAAAAAAATTTAGTACTTCACTTGATCTTAGCCAAAAGGCCGAGAAAGGTTAATCAAAAGGCCGAGAATGGTGTGATTATTATTTCTTTAGGTCTATAGTTTTATAAGAGGCTTCCTTGTAATCCTTTTAACTTAAAACCAATGTGGGACAAGAAAAACGAATTTTATTAGGTAATTTGTAATATGAGTTAAACTCTTTAAATAATTTTTAGGTAATTTTTGGCCTCTTTAAATTAATTTTTATAAATTTTATTAAGTAATTTGTAATTTGAAAAGTAGTACTACACTTGATTTTAGCCAAAAGGCCGAGAAAGTTAGGTTAACCAAAAGGCCGAGAAAGGTTAGTCAAAAAGTCGACCCAAAAAAAATTTAGTACTTCACTTGATCTCAACCAAAAGGCCGAGAAAGGTTAACCAAAAGGTTAAGGACAGTGTGATTATTATTTATTTAGGTCTATAATATTATATAAAAACTTTCATATAATCATTTTAACTTAAAACCAATATAGGACAAGAAAAATAAATTTTGTTAAGTAATCTGTAATTTAAATTAAACTATTTGAATAATTTTTAAGAAATTTTTTGTCTCTTTTTTATATTAATAAATAAATACTAAAATACTGATTGAAATACTGAAACTCTTTGCACATTTAATAATAATAATAATAATAATAATAATATATATATATATATATATATATATATCATATTTTCCATGCAATTGGTACTGTGGTTTCAAATCTATTTACCGACAGCCTACGCACATTTTGCTCCCCAAATTGGCAAATCTGAAGAAGAAAAAAAAGAATTGTTTGTCCAACTGTTTTTGCTTCTTCCGTTCCATTATTTTGCCATGAATATTAACAATTCAACATATTCAAAACTCAGTTATAAATATTCTGTGGTAGATTACTCAATTATAAGAATCCAAAATTATGAAAGACCATAAATTCGCATCACATGCTTCTTTGTCATGGACCCTGAAGACTAATCCAACGTATTCATTAAACAGGTTATACATACCGTAACAACCTATTTACCGAAATCAATCATTATATTATTTAGAATATTTACAATACTCCATCAAACAATAAATACTAGAAAAAATATGTCCCAATCAAACCAAATTACTAAATAGTCTATAATCTACAAGATGGTAAATTATAAAGCACAAGCTTAGATAATACTTAGTAATTACAAAACTCATATTTAAAGCAAGAAAAAAAACATCAAACACCCACAAGCTTAGATAATAATTGCAAAACTCATATTTACAGCAAGAAGAAAAACATCAGACACCCCCATAACTCAAGTAGACTGAAAACAAATGTTTAAGTAAAAATCACAAGGAACACATAATGTGTTACACATATCATAATCACGATTATGACATGTTGAGTTAAACGGGTATAATCGGATTATACGGATCAAACCCCTCAACCCTAACAAGACAAGATTAACCAAAAGAGTTGAATTAATCGTATCGATTCGTTTATAACCCGAATCCGTTTAAGATTAGCTCAAACCCACTTATTTCGTGTTGTGTTGGTGAGTCATGTCGAACTTTGCCACCTATAGTTTTGATCCATTCTAAATTTGAAAACTCCAAGGAATGAGAGACTGGATTGGAAAAACAAGTCATGTGCCAAAAGCATCACCAGCAAAAGCCAGTTCACATACAAGAGCAAGATGATCGCTGCCCCAATTCTGCCAAGGAAGTAAAATAAACACTTCATGTGATATCGAGATTAAACGGAGCGAAGAATCAATACAAAGAGCAGATTGAGCCTAAATGCAATTGATGCAATCCATAACCAATTTAAAAAATATGATTAGCCAAAGCCAGATGTGCTACAACTTCATGGCATCAATTTTGTAAGTTGCCTTTAATAGTTGGACGAAAACTGGTACTGGAAAGGTTTTAATATTCCTTGGCACTAACTTCCAAGTGCTTGAAACCAATTCAAGGAAGAATGTAAAATCATTCCACTGAAAAGCTGCTGCGTTGAAATAGGTACACCAATCAATCAATGGGCTTACTGCTTTTTCTGTCGGGCTATAGAGGTACTGAAATACAATTATCAGCACATGTGCAGTGGGTGTTCTCTGTACTTGACTCCTTGACATGAGCAACATTCTCCTGTCAAGGCAAGTATTTACTTGTGCTTTTTAAATAAAATTTTTAGTTCCATCATAGAGGTTATATTTTGCAGGAGATTTATTTCCTATAACCTAAGGCCTAAAACCATATTTCAGCTTGCTACCTTGGAGAAGATGTAAAAAAGAAAAAATAATAATAAGAAATAGCTAGCTTTGATTCTATCAGGATGGCCAAAACCAAAGTAACTGTCTTGAGGTAACGTACTACGTGAACACTAGTAATTGCAAAAAATTACAACGAATAAAAGTGCTAAATTGACAACAATATTATGATCATTTTCATGTTGTGTCTTAGCCTTTTGGGCTGCTAGTGTTCATTCTCTTTAGGTTTACGCTTATTTTTCTCTCAAGCGGAGAGGTTCTTTGCCCGAGTTTGCCAAGCCCCATTGTGTATATCTTTGTATTCCTCTCTTTTCTCGTTCATAAAATTTCTCTCGTCTACCACAAATAAATTGACCATGATAAACCTTTCTACAATACTAGTAGTTCTTTTTTGAACTCTCTTCCAAGATCTAGAATAAATATATTCAACACAAAAGGATAGCACATGTCAAGATGATGCCTAAACTTACTTGTCACTAATAACAATCCTAAGCCATGCATGCATGCAAGTAGTGGCCAACGAAAAAAAATTAACTGTTTTCCCAAAAAAGTGGTAATGATTCTCACCATTTAAATTGAAGCTAGCTAACAGCAATTTGTAACAATCCATGTATTTATGTGACCAAAAAAAAAAAAAGTATCTTGGATTGATAAAATCAGATAAGTTATATAGACTTTTACTAAAGGTGAAAGCTATACATTACTTGGAAGCCCTCCCGTTTTTCTTAATATGTCGATGGGTAGGATTTCAAGAACCCTCACAGGAACAAGCTCCTCAGTGTGCCTGTGTCATCACTGAAGTCAGTAACAAGGATAATTGGAATGCAAACAACCAAAATCATCCTTTCCTACTAAAATAGATATACCATATATAATCAACAGTTCCCATGAACTTAGAGTGGTATGTTGTTGCCAAGGGTTCTCCATAATTATCTCTAGTTCTACAACTTCCCTGAGCAAATGAGACCACAGTGTATGAGACAACATACGAGCTTACGATACTGAGAATTTCCCCACCCAAGTTAAACACGTGGATGTTAACTTCCAAGGACAATATGATAATGATCTCCTTATTGAAGTTGAAAAAAATGCTAAAAGGGAAGATTTAATAATCTTACAGGAACTCCATGGTATGCACTACAAATTCGTAAATGGTGTCTAAGACGAGTTACTCCTTCAGTTCCAGTAGCAAGCCTTAATTCTTCATCACTCCATCTATAAATTAATGGCCTTGAAACAGAATTCCGAAAACTGCATCCCAAATGCACCAATAAGTTAATAAACACCACATATCAGTCAACCTATTGCATGGAAGTTTGAACAGGAACATTTGGAACCGATCCTTAAAAATTCACTGCACTCATAAGTGCTTGCTAATTTTATTTTTAAAGAAACAGACAATGAAGACCAGTATCACTAAAGAAACAGTCAATGAAGACCAGTACCACCGAGCCTCTAGCTTAAGTGGTATGTACTCATTTTCCCATATGAGAGGTTGAGGGTTTAAGCCCCCTGTGAGGCATAGTGGGTTTGTGCAAAAGGGCAATGAAGACCATCATTTCTGTTTTCATCTCCTTTACTTATTTTTTTGATAAGAAGCCATCTCATTGCAATGTGGTGTTGAAAGATATATACGATAGTTTACGAGGAACTTCAAGTAAAAACCTGGCTGTTCTGTTATTCTGAAATCGGAATGCTGGGTTTAATGGACATATCTGCCCAGATATATTTCTTCGTTCGTGTCGTAGGACATCCAACTGCAACAAATGTCAAAAATTTTAGTTTCCATATGTTGAATCTCACCATGGAAAGAAAAACTATCAGATAATACTTATGGGCTAGATAAAGCCAGAAACTCACCTCAGATGAAGCCAGGAACTGATAAATTGCACTCTGAACATAAGATAGACAGAAAGCTATATATATTACACTGACAATGAAGACTAATACAAAGATTTAATTTCGAAACTATTAAACTAACAATCTCAGGTCGAGGAATTACCTGTGGTAGGCTATTGAGGTCCCCAGCAATTACAACAGGGATGTTGCCCCATTCTTGTGATAGTTTATGCGCCTTCTCAAGAAGCAGTCGAATCTACAACATTTGTGTTACAAGTAGCACATATCTCCAAAAACAATAATGAAAACCACAAGCATTTGACTGAAGCTATTTCTCTTTTAAAGCCACAACCATGGGGAATAATCAGCAATTAACAATCTATCGGCTGACATATTGTATATAAATCGGGTTGCAATATGTCTTTGTTTATGTAATTCTGAAATCACCTATTATCACATAAATACTGCAATGACTCTAATATTCCAACAGATATATCGCATATATTCAGTGAAAAAACTCATCCATTGACAAATATGACATACATCCTCTTTTCAGGTAAAAGTTATAACTTCTTTTGAATTATTGTCAATAAATATCTCTATTCTGTTCCTATATCTACTTTTTCCATTGTCGTAAAGTTTATATCCCAAATTTATAATTTTCCTTACTTTCTCTTTGGCCCACTTAATTTCTTATACTCATGCAGCATTCACTCTCCTTCCAGTCACAGCATTCAACCCGTTACGTATTTCGTATGCCAAATCGCTAACCAAAGTCTATCATCTTCAACTAATTCCCTTACCAGAACTCTTCAAGAACAGTGTGGGACCCTCACCCAGTTTTTAGCACCCCTTCTGTCCAATTTGTGCTGCAGTATTTGTTGTGCAATATTTTACCTAATAAAATATCTCCTTCAATATATCAATATTTTTGCACCATAAATATCCTTTTTATCAGGACTTACTCCTTGAAAAATATGTGAGGTGTGAAGCAAGTTTTTTACATCAAATTTCCCTACATCCATAAAAAAAATCAGAAATAAACTATAATTTCAGTTAAAACAAAAATCTCAAACATATAATTAAATTCCATATTTGCTGCTGTGATTTAACCTTGACTTTGGATCCGTGAACATATATACAAAATAAGAAACTCAAAGTAATGAAGGCAAAAAAAACTGAAGGAAAGAGAAACAAATGTTGCTCAGGAGTCACTGTGCCCATGTACTGTTGGAAAAAATTGCAGCACTACCATGTGGTTTTGCATTTATGTTCCCCCCCTTCCCCCTTCCTCTTATTTCTCTCTTCCCCAAACAACAAAACACACATATACAAGATAAAATAAATAAATAAAAACTAAACAGAATTGCACAAGCTATTTACTTGAATTACCGCACAATCATTCATTTAATGTCAATTGAACAAAGACATTATTTGTCAAAAGTCCCTAATTTTGATATATTAGCACAATCAATACCTGGCCCAGCTTAATTTCCCCACGATTTGGGTTGTAGAGCACATGAGTATTTCCAACCAGTAAACTTCGAGAAGGCAGGACCCTATACATGCACATTCTACATCAGTTTCTAAACCAATGACGTCTGACTACCATAAGAACAAATTATCCCAGATTCCTTTAAATATTTCTAGTGGAAGGAAACTGGGGGATAGAAAAATCAAGACAACCGAATTTCCTGCAATGCATCATATATGTATAGAATGGACACTAGTTGAAACGATGTATGCAAGAGATTCCAATAGCAAGCATAATGGAGTACATTAAGCTCTTGTATGAAACAAGACTTGATCATCAGAGGCACAAGACATCGAGTGTAAAGCAAATTTATGAAGCAATTGTATATGAAAACATAAAAATAATATAGAATTACATAGAAATAGAAAAATGTACTAATTTTTTTCCCTTTGGAGGGAAGCTTTTACTATTATATCATCAAATGCAAAATCCAAAATAAATAAACAGAAACTATAACTTTATAAGAAGAACACCTTTCAGTTAAGTTAAGCAGTTCATGATCATGAGACTCAGAAAATTAAATTTTGGGCTTCAACTTACAAAGCTTGAGCGTTTTTTATATAATGCATACATAAAAATATTTAATAAAACAGAAACAGATATAAAAAGATTTTACCAAAAGCATCGTCTCATGTATCTGTGAAGTTGTATCAAATCTTCCGAAGAAATTTACATACAACCAAAAATATGTATACATAATTCATTGAATACCATGACACAACACATAAAAACTTACTTTGATTTTCGAAGATCACTGGAATCCAATTGATCATGGGCCATCTGTATGAGGAGGAAAAAAAAAAAGAATCAATTTAAAGTTTAAATACCATTGATACTAACTATCAATTTCTTTCTTTCATTCATTATCAACACATATGGATCATGAATGTTTGCTAGAGTGCTAATTATATACATTCAAAGTGTTAAAAAAAAAGATCTTCACCAACATTCCACACAAACTAGAATTAGAGTTTGGATGACTGGTAGAGGAGATCAAACACAAGAGGAAGAGCGAATTGTTAAAAGAGCAGACTCATAACTTAGGTTTCTAAGTGTTTATAAGGTTTTGTGATATTTTTCTTCATTGTGGATTTGATCTGTCTGGACTAGATCTTGTGGACATTCCCTTTGGGGGTTTTCATGTGCGTTGTTGTAGTTTGTTTTACTTTTTTGCTCTATGCTGATTATTACTGTGGTAATTGATTGTTACTTGATAATTGAACTTCAGTTTAATCTAGTTAGTTATAATTCGAATTTCAGTTAAAAGTTGTTAATAAAATTTGAAGACCTGTTCATCCCTCATATAGGTCTAGTTTGAGGTTTACAGTACTACGATGTATCAAAGCCTAGGGTGTCTGTCTAATTTATCATACTTCACCTTGATAGTTAAAATTAAGTGTATTTCAAAAGGGATTGTCTATTTAGCATCAAGCACGCGAATAAATACATGAAACCAAATTACTTATTAAAAAAAATACACGAAACCAAATAGCAAAAAGACATTAACCCCGCATACCTTCAAAACACAAAGTTGAGCAACATTGTCACGAAGGCCAAACCTCTGGAACTCTATGTTCTCTTGATGCAAAAGGGAAAATCTATGTCCAAAATGTTACTAGCTAAATGTTAGATAGTGCAGGAGGTTACTTGAAGGAAACGAAGAGCCAAAATTCAAAAATACATTAAGAGGGGCAAGTTCATATTTAACCAAATCAAAATGACTGAAGAATTTATATACTACATCCATTAAGGTTCTGGGTTCTAAGTCCAAGAACAGGTTTAGAAATTTTTTCTACACCACCAGTTCTTTAATGGTGCTAAAAACCAAGGTTGTCAAGGGAAGGGGAAAAACAAAAAGAGCTTCAAAGTGAATCCAAAATCTGTCACAAATTCAATGTATTTCCATCATAAAAGCTACTGTAACAGAATAACAGTTCACAATATCCAAGAAAATAAGAAATCTTACAGCTCATTTTTCCAGAATATAGCACACCCATCACAAGCTTCACCAGTCCGAGCCTTGTATAAATAGCATTTCAATCAAAATTGTGGTTTATAACACATTACCGAACTACAGACCATAAAGAAATTTTCAAATATACCAGGTAAACGCCTCTAAAGCCATCTTTCTGCAGAAGTTCATCTAAATCATTGAAACGGTCAACCTCCTGCAGCCAGAGGAGTAGATTATGAGAATGCATCTACTTTCGTGTGTGTGTGTGTGTGTGTTGGGTTGGGGGGGGGGGGGGGGGGGGGGATTAAAAAAATGGGAACGGAAGCTTGTACAAGAATTTCGATGTTTCCGGTATACGCATGAACAATAAAAATGTAAATAACTCCTGTTTATGTTTTCCCAATATATACACGAATACAATTGCTATAATACATACAAATATAATATAATCAACTGGGAGAAAAAACATTCCAAGGGGCAGAAATGAAGAGTATAATAAGAACTCATCCCCTAGTAATCCAGAATCTGTCCATGTCTAGAACCAAGAGAATCACATTAATTCTGATGAAAATTGTATTAAGGTTGCATTATTTATTTATTCCATCATTTATTTACTCATTGATCTATTGACTATTAAGGTAATGTAAAGAGAGGAAAAGGTGTTTACAGAACAATTTTTTTCTTTAACCTTGACTTATGAATGCTATGAAAAGCGCTTAAACTTGCCTGAAAACATATAATGCTTGGATGGTAACGAATGATCTCCTTACATATAAGCTTTTTCCGGCGATCCCAATCCAAATGTTTGGAAGGGACATTAAGGTACAAGTCTGGATGCTTTGACGCATTTTCAACACCTAGTATATTGTATGATACAAAAACAACCTTATCTGCAGAATGAAGAACAAGTTTAGAAAGAGCAAATGATTATGAACTTCCGTATGATCAAACTGCGAAAATAATGAAAGGGGAAGTTGATAATATTTTATGTCTTTAGATGCATTTCAACCAACCCTATAAATCTAGCAAGAGATGAACACAAAGAAGAAAATTAGTTATGTAAGGTTGCACTCTACCTTTATTAGAGTTCAAGAGGGTTTATGGGTATGGGTAGCCCCTTGTCACCTTTAGATGGTGAAAATAAAAATTGATATTGACTAGCTTACAATTCACTATAAAGGGGGTGATGGTTGACTAACTTGATTGCTTTCCCAACAAATATAAATTTTCTATGGAAAAAGTATTTCAAGTTTTCCTAATCTGAAGCATGCGAACATTGTTTTTATCTTTTACTAAGCTGCTATCCCAGATTGGAGCTTACATTTAACAGCATCATCGGATAACCAAGTAGTCTTCAAGAATCAATAAGCAGTGAAAACTCCAAGGAACAAAAGCACGAAAGAAGTTAAAAAAGAAAACAACCATTACTGCTAGAATCAAGAGCCCAAATCCACACTGGACAAGAAATGAAAACCTCTAGGATAGTTGAGAAACGGAAATGATTCAAGCAACTATGCCTTTTTATGTTCTGCACATGTTGAACTTCCTGTTAATTTTCCTCTTTTTTGCAGCACCAGAAACAAATTAAGTTTAATTTGTTCCTATAAGAAGTATATTAGAAAAAGACTAAGAAGGCCTCCAATTGCCATTCTTTTGGAACACTAGAAAATTGATGCATACAACATTCATCTCATACTGCAGATAAATTGATTATATAACTTCCAAAATTTATGATTACAAAAGACATGTCCCTGTTAACATACACAAAATATCTACTCGATTTAGCTTTCCCATGAAAGAAATGAAAGCCTACTACCTTATAGACCTAAACCCTTAAATTGCTAAACAAGGTTGTTCACTCTCTGAATGAAGATTCTTCAAGCACATATTCACAAAATCATCTACGAACTCACAATTTATCTAATTTTCTCTCTCTTACCGTGATCAATTATCTAATTTTCTCTGTTAGTGAAATTTCAACTCTGACCAAGGAATCTAAAGGTACAAATCAATGTAACTGTTCATAAAGTTGTAAACTTTGTTAGAATCCCATCAAATTAAAGCACATACGTGGTTAATTAGGATCTTTTTCTACCAGCTTGCCACTCATATGAAACAACTATCAATAACTTCAATCCCAGTGCAAACTAAAATCAGTAAATTCATGGCTTAATCATTCATAACTCCATAAACTTCTTTCTCCACACCCCTCTTCCAAGTTCCTTATACACTACATGAATACTCTTCCAAGTTCCTTATACACTACATGAATACTGTACATATACACAATATATATAAATATATTGAGGGATAAGGTTTTTATACCTTTGTAACTGGAAAAATCACGATCAGAGAAAACCCATTTGCGAAAAGCGTCTGTGGTCGAGGACTTTCGTCTGTGTTGCTTTTTGTGCTTCTGATACGTGTGAGACGAACAACCAGTGAGTTGGAAGTGGTTCGGTCTAGATGGCATGTGAGTTGGGTCGAGTTTTAGGGTTTCAGTTTCAGTTTTTGAGATTAATCTTCGCTTCTTCGAGTTGCGGTGATAATGAGATTTTTGTATTGTACGAGAGTGTCTATGCTCGCTTGATGTGTCCGCCGCTCGCTCCACCGACCACCTCCGCCCTTCGCCGCTTTCCATGCTTCCGGAATATTCAAGATGTCCGCGGCGCGTCGGGAACTATATATTAAGCTAGAAGACCTCTTATAGGATTGCGATAGTTACACTCTTTTTTTCTTTCTTTTATTTGAAAAAATTAAAGTAAACTGTTTTTTGTTTTTTTTTTTTTTGAACTATTGTCTACCGCAACCATATAAAAATTTTGATAAAAAATAAACTCATACTCGTATTCACATTTGCCTCGTTCTTAAGTAATAAGGTAATTAAACTTTTTTCATACTTTATTTCTAATATTTTAATCTAAAATACCATTTTAAGTATGTTAGATAAATAAATAAATTAGTGAGGGCGACCAATATTAATAACTTGTTTTTATGAAATACTAGTAAAAGTATTGTTAAATTTGTAGGTGCATAATATAAATAAAGAGAATATCAGTTTGTCCTAATCCTTAACAATCAAAAGCTACTAATAACCATTTTTTTTTTTTCTTGAGTAATTATAAATTTTATGAATACCGATTTTTATATGCATAATATTAGTATAATTTTATTATTAAAATAATATAATAGTAAATTAAAAAGTTTTATAAATATAATTATATAACCTAGCGAAAAGTTTTATGACGAGAATTAAAAAAACAAATAGGTTTATATATTTAATGAAAAGGAAAGAAAAGAAAAGTAAATTAATTAGATGTTCACAACCCGATATTGTTTTCATGAAACTTACCCAGCGTTGCCATAGAAAAGCGTTGTTTAAAATTGTGGTTTCATGGTAAATTCCTTTATTAATTGTTAGATTGAGTTTACAAAATTTTGTCAGGTATTTTTGCCATGCATTTATGGAGAATGTAACAGCGATGCAATGATATCACAATTTTGTAAGGCTGTAATTTGGACGGGTTCAGTCCAAAATAATTCAAGCTCAGTTCGAAATTTTGTGAGCTTGGGCAATGTTTTTCTTTTTTTAGTTTCAGATAGACTATATAATTTGAGCCTGAATTCAATTTGGACTGGGCTTGGGTTGATATGAATGAAGCTTGAAACCCAACTAGAGCTCGAAAATAATATATATATTTATAATTATACTTAAATCACGAGGGTGTGGTAGCCAAGTTGATAGTGTTTGTGATTTATACTTAAGCTTTTAGATTCAAGTCATGGGTGTAGTATAAAATGATTTATTTTTTATACACAAATTCTTCTGAGCGTGCAGACTTGGGCTGAATAAATTATGTATGAACTGGACTTGAGCAACTCGACTCGAGTTTACGGCAGACTTGGACTAAAAAAATTTTATATGGACCTAGCCCAGTGCCAAATCAGCCCTACAATTTTGTAACTAAAATTATTGTTACATTTTAAAATAATTCGTTGCAATACCATTAATATTTTTTTTAATTAAATACATCGCATTATATTACATCCATGTGAACACGTTGATGCAAGTGGCCCAAAACGAATGCTGACCATGACGTTGAAACACTGATGTCGATTTTTGCAATTTGATAATCCAAATAAAAATACAGACCTTGAAGGGGTGTATTTACTTTTTATTAAAGTATTATTAACTCCCATTTGAATTGAGTTTGTTATGAGATTCTGTTTGGAATATAATAAAGTCCGAATTAGAGAGGAAGAGAGAACAAAATAAGGAAGTAAATTACAGAATTTGCACCATTTATAGACTTTTTAGAGATGCAAACCAAACCTCACACTACCAAGGAAGAGGGGTGGAAGGAATGAATTTCGTAGAGATGATATAAAAAAAAAAAAAAAAAAAAAAAAAAAAGATAATATATTTAAATTACTTTATAATCGTTCATAAATAGTTAATAAATGTCATCAATAAAATAAGTGTGATAGGTTTAACCGTAAAAAGAACCTAAAAATCTTTTTTTCCTTTTGTCATTAGTTTCTTCTTATCTTTTTCATCCTAACAAAATGGAAGAACATAATATATTCTCTAAAATGTCTCATTCATCATTTCTTTTTATTCCTTTCATTTAAATATTTTTCTTTCTACCGAACGAAGCACAACAGACACATTCTGAAAGCATGATAATTTTTTCCGCTGTTTCTATATTAGGGTTCATGTTGCATCATCGACCATAATTTTCCGCACCCAAATACTTTTACAACTAAGAAAGGATAAAATTTAATCAGAGCTGAAATTATATTTTTAAGGGTTGTATTGCATGGGAGGAATTTTAATATTTTGCTCACACATCCTGTGAATCGGGATCTCTCCGATACAATCGACCACTCACATCACAAGCAGAGGATCCCAACACATATTATAATCACCACATCCACTGATTTGACAGAAAAAATAAATAAATAAATAAATGACCAAAAATCATTGTTCATTTAGTAATCATTCTTCCTCTTAACTCTGTCTCTCTCACTCACGTGCGCGGCACACAAAATCATCACCTACCAAATTTAATGCGAACTTATCAACAAGAAGAAAAATTGGGGTCAACCTTCTTGTCTTCAAACTGCTCAAAAAAAAAAAAAAAAAATGATCAGAGAGGAAGTGCAACAACTCGTTTTCTCTCTCCTTCTTCTTCCATCTCTATTTCTCTTCATCTTCTCTTCCAAAGCAAATGCAAAATCTGTGATTGAACCTTGCAGCTCTTCAGATTCATGCACTTCCCTTCTCTCTTATAACCTTCCTTGGGACTCAAAGCTCTCAGAGATAGCCTACAGGTTCCAAGTCAACATTTCTGATGTCTTAGCCTCCAACTCCATTGACCCAACACCAGCATTGTCATGGGACCTAATCATGCCTGCAAAATCCATGGTCAAGGTGCCCATTTCGTGTCCATGCGTAGACGGCATTCGACGTTCAATGTCAACCATCTATACGGTCCGAGCAGCAGATAATGTGAGCTCCATTTCTGAAGGATATGGTGGGCTTGTTAGTGCAGAGCAGATTAGGATTGCTAATGGTGTTAGTGTGAAGAACCCGGTGACGGGTGGTCAAGGCCTTGTGATTCCATTGCCATGTACATGCTTCAACAACAGCAACAATGGCGCTACAACTGTGTATATGTCACATGTGGTGCAGAGTGGGGAGAGTTTGGGCAGCATTGGGGCAGAGTATGGGACTACTGTTAGTAATTTGGAGGGCATTAATGGCCTTGGCCAACCCCAAGTTGATCCTGGAGACATACTGGCTGTTCCACTCCCTGGTTAGTGAATCATCCAATTTATGACATTTGAAAAAAAAAAATAATAATAATAATAATAGTAACGGAAAACTATGAAAAAAACATAATATTTACATTTCGGGTAAATGACACGTTTACTTTTTATTTTGAGTATCTAAATTCCTTAAATTTGAAAAAATGTGGTGAGAAAGAGCTTGTGTCAGAATATGACCATTAAGTTATAAAATTACCAAAACACCTTCTGTTCTTTCAAAAATGCCCTTTTACTATTTTATATATAAATCACATTTCTCTCTTTTTACAAATATATAAGGACACTTTAATCTTTTCACATTTACTTAGTTTTTCACTTTTTGTCCAGTTACACAAGGGTACTTTAATCTTTTAATTGCTTCATTGAATAGGAATGTTTGTTACAGACACCCTAATAGTAATTAAAAAATGCTAAGGTAAAAAGAATTAACATTTTGCAGCTAGTTTATGCTACCACCTAACAGGTAAATAAATTTTTTACTGTGACATGGAAAATAAGGTTATTACTTGGGTAGTTAGGTTGGTTTCTGTTAATTGAGCGCTGTTAGGAGTGTGGGGTGTAAACGTAACAAATATGTGCCTAAAATGACCATGCGCCCAACAATAAATGTGGGATGAAATATCAAGTATCGTTACACATTAATTTTCTTGATGCTTTCTTGCTGTACTATGGGGCTTCATATGATCAGATATCAGCTAGCTTTAAGTGACTATATATATATATATATATATATTTGTAAGTTCTCATAGAATCATCTCTCTGCAGCATGTTCATCAGCAAATTTAAATTGGCGCAACGAGAGTCTAATTGTTCCAAATGGTTCATTTGCTTTAACGGCCAATAATTGCATCAAATGCAGCTGTAGACAAAGCGATCTCAGGTGAGTCCTTGTGTCCTAATGTAATGTAAATGTCCTTGTAAGACATACTTTTTTAAATTATATATATATATATATATATATATATATATATATATATATTCTGATTCACTAATAAATAATGTATTTCACATAATCTTGATCACAGCTTGCAGTGTTCACCATCAGGTATTGTTGCCTCTTGCTCTCATTTGCAGTGCAAAGGGTCTAATCTCTTTATTGGCGACGTCTATGAGAAGCCAACGGCATTGGGTTGCAATGTCACCGCATGCAACTACCGTGGCCATTTTGGCCGTAAAATTTTTAGAAGGTACACCAGTTAGCAATTTTAATTTTTGGAATTAGGCTTGCAGGCCAAACTCTCATCCCCATTTCTCTCATCCCCATTTCTTTGAACTGCCAAGTTAAACAAATATACAAAAACATCATATATATATATATATATATATATATACAAGCACACACACATGCTTCACGTGATTTTTTATTTTATAAAAAATTGAAGTTTCTAAATTTTAATGGGGAAGTCTGTCTTTGTATTGCAGTTTGGTTAATTCTTCTCATATTCAGTGTTCAGGTAATAGCTACATTTAGTAGTTTCCATATATGTATGTGTGTGTGTGTGTATATATATATATATATATGACTTCAGAGAATTGCATTGCAGGTAATGGGAGTCATGCCATAGTGTCACCCTGTCCATCTTCATCATCAACTAATATCAACTTATCTCCGTCTCAGTCGCCATCCCCGTCACCATTTTCGGCTTCAATTCAACCTGTGGGGATAGATGCATCCAATGCTACAAATAAACATAATACAAGCATTGCTAGTGATACAAGGTTGCTCAGTGAAGGTTGTATCCTTAGTTTATTGGTTCTACAGCTTGTCCTTTATTTTTTATGTTGATTAATTTGTTTATTCAGTTATGTTGATTATTCAATTAATGTGGTTGATTACATTGCTGAGAAGTCGGTAAAAATTAATAAGGGTAACTTGCAACCTCAAACAGAAGTTCGATTCCCTTCATTTGAGGCCAACCTAGGGAATTTTCCTGGACCAACCTGTAGCATGATTTTGGATGTGTTGATGATTATTGGGAGTGACTTGTTAAATTGGAAATACCCTCAATGTAAAGAAAAAATAAAACGGACCAGTTAGCATGATTTTAGAGTGACATTTTATTGTGCCTTTCGTAGCAATATTTTGGCGACAAGCAACTGCTGAGCTTGTATTAGTATTATTTTTTTGATATTGGTATTTAAATTTGGCCCCTATCATGTTTGAGACTATTGATATTAATTTTAAATAGTTCATAACATATCAGATTTTTTTTTTTTGTCAAAACTCATATTACCAAATTACAAAAAAAAAAAAAAAAAAAACCAAAAAAAAAACAAGCATAATGCCTAAAATCACATGCCAAACGAGCTTAAAACTTGATGATTTGTGTTGATGCAGTTGGGAACGTCAAAAAAAGAACCAAGACTGACACTCGCAGCGTATACTTCCAAGATCAAGTAAATAATTATATATCAAACCATATTTTTTGAAAGGATCTGAAAAATAATAGCCCCCAAACAGGGAATAGGGATAACATTGTTGCAAACACAGAAACTATAGATAACAATGTTTTTAGAAATATATATGAACTAGAGAAGAGGGAAACTTAGAAAAATGCTACATATGATAAGAGAGGGCTTTAGCCAGCTGGATCCGGCTCCTTATCTTACAAAAGAATCCAAATGCCAGCAGTTTGGTGGATGAAGATAACTGAAAAAGTACCAAAGGAATCTAACCAGTCTATGTCTCCAAAAGACATGACTTCACCTAAATTGGTATGTTGCTGTGAGAGAAAGGGTATATGTATTCACACACACACACACACACACACACATATATATATATATTGAGAGAAAGGATATATGTATTCGCATATATATATATATATATATTTAAAATTATCACGTAAACAATGTGAAATTAAAACATAAGTGATGTGAGTTATAGCGTAAGTAATCTAAATGTCACAGAACACATGATCAAATAGCATAGTAAAGATCCAGAATCCTTTTAATAAATGTATTTTTAACCAGTCGTTTTAGTTCAAGTGGCATCTCTTTTTCTTTTCTTTTTTTTTTTATTTTTATTTTCATAATTCTCTTTTTCTTTTCAAATAAAAAAGTTGAGCATCGCAGAGACCATGTGGTTTTAATGAGCATGATGGAGATTGAATCAGAGGGTGAGGAGGATGTTGATGCAAGTTGAAATGGTGGATCCTAGTAGTAGTTAACCAAAGCCTTGAGACCTTGTCTTCTTGCATTTAGCAGATTGGGACGGGGGAATAAAAGCCTGGGACAACTCTTCGGCTTGTCCACACAATTGTGATCTCATGCGAATATATATAGTACAGCTATATCTCTATGAAGATTTCATGTGTACATCTTTTGTACCCTTTTTAGAGACGTAGGTCTAGGGAAGATTGTGTATACATATACACACACAAATATACAAATATATATATATATATATATATATATATATATATATATTAATGAAAATATAGCAGTTATGTTCGATATATTATCATGAGTGAAAGGATAAAGACCTCTCGAATTAGCAGATACGCATTTGGAAGTGAGTGAAAATATCTGTGCATATATAAATGCTTAAATGAGCACATCACTTTGAAAGTGAATGATTACAACTCTGTATATTAACAAATTTAATTGAAAGTGAATGATTACAACCCTATATACAAATGCACGTATAGAAAAAAAATGTTAAGTTCTAAATACAAACGCAACTTGAATGATTAAATACAACATACACAAAAGTTTCCACCAACTTTCACAGCTCTTGATACAAACAAATGTTGTGCTTCACATAGTAAAGATTACACGATTTGGCCATGTATTCTCAGTACCAATTGCTTAAGGAGATACAAGATTTCAATATACTAAGAAACAAATTGATGACGTAAAGTTCTGTCAGCTGAAGGAAAAAATTGTACTTCTTGTCCAGACTATAAGAAGATATGGCATACTGTGATTGTATGCAAGATTAATCAATATGTGCAGAGCCAAAGATGACATATACATATATATGTATATATAGATATATATATCAAGTACTAAGTTCCAAAAACTGAATCAGGGCATAATCTATAACAAACCAAATGAAAATCTAAAAAGAAATGAAAAGATTCCGCGTCATTTTCCTGTGTCAAATGTACTTTGGGAGTAAGAAGCTGTATATAATAAGCAAGCAGGAGGGAAGTGCCATGCCCACAAAGCATTGTGGACCATCTCATTCTCTTCTGGCTAAGAGGAGAGAGAGAGAGAAAGAGAGAGAGAGAGAAGGAGAGAGATGTGGAGAGCTAAGGAGCTTCTTTCAGTCCAATAAGAAGGGCGGAGGAGCAGTTAGAGCTGTCATCTCATGCATACGGTTACCCTTAATGTTTCACTAAGGGAGGAAGACAAGTGTTAAGTTTAGCCAGGTGCATGATATGAGAGCAACTCCCACTGCACTTCGCCCACCTATTGGACTGAAGGGAGCTCCCAGCAGATCACATTGTCCCTTGAGAGACTACTGTTGGCATATGCATTCCTCCACAAGGTTTTCCATTAGATCCTAATTTACAAGATCTGTTAGTGTGTCTCGGACGTTTTCGCCCTTTACACATGCTCTTCTTGTAACCCCTTCGGTAACTTCATCTTCTCTAACTTTTGTTTGCTTTAAGTACCGTCAGATTAAATGTATATTTATTTATGGTTGTCTCTCAGCCCCTGCACTATATTTTCTTCTCCTTATTTCACTATTATCTTCTCCAAGTTTGCTTGACAGGTATACAGAGAATGAATAGCTTTCTTCAAAGGTTGCAGGTTATACGATAGACAGGTAGATATAGAGACCAGCAGTTTCTTAATGCTTCACTCCGAGAATTAGTTCAAAGAAACAAAAAAGGACTCTAGTACCACCTCTCTTTGCGTGTTTTTGTGAATAATAATATACTGTGTATATATAGACAGAGAGAAGTGGAACTGGCTAATCCTGAAGAAATTTTAACATCCAGTAGCAATTCCTGCTAATGTTGCAGTTGGGTTCAGCCAGCCCTGGTTAGGAAGAGTCTTTTTTAAAAGAATGGTGAACCAGCTAATTGGAGGTAATGACTCCTAGATAGGCACCACCCCTTACTAATGGTTGTAAATCTACCGACTAACTGGTATTTAATTGACACATGTAACCTATATATTTGTTTTTCTTTATCAAAGACTATTGTCCAGTGTGATTCCAGTTCAACAAAGGTGTTGTAAGCATTGAATAGCATGTAGGAATAACTTCTAGCATTATTTACACAAAGTGACTGCTACAACACTCATTTTATGCTTGGCAATTGAAGCTTTTAACCATTGCACCATATGATGGCCTGTACAACTGTTTCGGTGTATAATTTTGAGTTTCAAAAGCTATTCCATTTGCGAAATTTGGAACGTGGTCAAATTTTAGGTACCAGGATTACAAGAAGAACCATGGCACCATTTTACTGCTTATATAGAGCTCATATTCAGTAATGATCCAAAATTTAGAATAAAGTAGTGATCCATTTGATCCTCAAAGAGGAAGAAATAAGACAATAAAATTCATGATCTTTGGAAAAGCAATGACCCCAAGCAGTTAAAGCATCCAAAACTTTTTCCTACCTTCTCTGCAAATAGCAAACAAATATAAATAACCAGAATAAATCATGAACAAAGGCAAATTTAAGCAATGAGCCAAACTTATTTCATTTTCTGATGTCCTTGGTTTCATGGCTTCAATCCAATCCACTAAATTTTCGACATCAACAAGCAAAAGAAGTAAAAGTTGAAACCAAAGGCAATACCGTTTGGCATTTACACAAAACAAGAAAGAAAATAAATGTGGTGGATGGCTAAAGTCTTGAGACAAACCAAAAGATAATAACAGCAATGCAACCAAACTGGTTGGCACGCCCCCACATCTCCATTTATACAATCACCAACTGGCCAAATTCAGTCACCTGCAACAAGAAAGCAAAAGATGTTTCCTTCATTCTTCTTATCCTTTTATATCCATTAAAGAACTGATAAACAACTTAAACTATTTTTTGCAGTAAAAAGTAACAGACGCTTCTTCAGCCGTTCTATAACACAACTCACTTATTCATGCTCACTAGATTAGAGAACAGAAATAAATATTTTCCTGTAAAGATTCAGTAATCTCATTTATTTAAAACATAAAATGAGTAAACATAGAGGAGAATTTTCCATAGAAAAAGAAGTGTTTCGAAATATAGATGATATATTGACAAAAATAAACTAAAAGCCAAAGCAACAACCCTCCTGCAAAAATCGATAGAAATTTTTTCTCTCCATCAAATAAAGCACCAGAGTTATTGGTCAATTTTTTTCCACAATTCTCACTGAGCATTGTCATTCTAAAGAACACTTCATATCCAGTCATGTACATACTCATAATGGAAAATTTTGGAATGTGACATGTATAAGTTACCATAGCAAAATGTCAAGTAACATTCATTGGTTAAAGAGTAGCATAAAACCCACTGCGTTTGTTTTTTGATGTCTTGCATACTTGTGTGTGTTAGAGATATGGAGGGGAAAACGGATCAAGGGTAAGAGTTGAATAAAAGATCTTACAAAGATATGAAGCTTAAAAATGACGAAGCTACAATATTATTATATTACTCTTCTTAACTATATTGATTCTCAACACTTCCAATAGAGTATATATCTGACAAACTATCTACTTATTTCTATTACATCCGCTCATGAAATACTAGATTGCCAGTGATAAATTTAACCATTTAATTATTGAAAAGCATTCTAATGGGTCAGCAGTAATATGCCCATTTCATGTAACTAAGACACGACCAATAAGATTTTCCAATCAGGGGGAGAAGGAAAAAAAAAAAGCATTTTCCAATCTGTACTTAAAAAACAAGAGATTAAACCAAGACTGAGAACTTACACTATATAGGTTTAGCTCCTCAATTGATACTATCACTATAAAAGCTAAATTTACAATATTGCCCTCTTATCTATATTATTTCTCAACAGACCTGCAACCCTTCCCTCTCAAGAATAAATCAGTGGTTAAGACTTAAGAGATCGCCATGAAAATTTTCAAGCACATTAAAAGATTTTGACTTCCACCAACACTACTTTCTGTGTGCATTTAAACATTGATGCACTACAACCAACAAACATGCAAGCTCAATGATATTGTGCTCACTTCTATTTTTAAGACGTGTAAAGAATCATCTTGAGGCCCAATCAGAGAAGTGGAAAAATATTCAAACGCTAACAGTATCTTGTGCCTGTCCTATCCAAATTCAGAAGAAAACTTAATCGGCACAAACTGAGAAATTAACAAAACCAGAAGTCCCTTGTGAGGGTCTGGTTTAGTCCTCATCCCAATATATATATATATATATATATATATATATATATATATATATATATATATATTTGGTAAGTAAGATTGTTCTTCCCAACTTGAACCAATCCCAGGTTAAACCATTCATATTTCTTTGCTCATTGCAACCGCCCAGATAACTAATCCCTTTAAATAGTACATATACATGAATAAAAATAATATATTTTTTTTCAAATTATATATGTGATGTTGTGGCCCAAATTTGGTATCAGGTTGCGTTGCGACCCGTTTACAACCCAACGACCCATTGGATGAGCTTTGCGTGGGTCGTGGACCCTAATTAGTCCTCTCTTGTAGCCCAATATATAAGGGCATTTAGGGTTTGGAGTGGGAAGAGATTGCGACACTGAAAATTGCATAGAAAGAGAGTGAGGGGCTAAAACTTGTAATCTCCAGAATTTCATATAGTGAAAACTTTCGCCGGATCTCCACCATGGATGTAGGCTTTGCCGAACCACGCTAAATCTTGGTGTTCTTTGTGTGTGGCTTGTTTATTTTTTGTCGTGATTCTTGGTTTTATCTTGGATTTGCTGCGTTTGTCGTAACAATATACATAAAAATTAAAAATAAAGAAATAGATCCCATTTGAACTTAAAAGGTTGGCCATCATTGTAGAATGAAATCAAAATCAAATGACAAACAGCGATATTCTTTTGAAAATCCATTAAAGACGATTCCTTAGTGTTTGTCCTGCCTATTCAGGGTGTTGAGAGAAAAAGACTAAAGATAAACCTAACTTTTGGCTTTTTCTAATTCTCATTCCTCCCTGGAATTCATTGTAAAATATGTCCAGAAGAAGTAAGCAGCTAAACCATCCACCAGGAATACCAAACTATCGTCCAAATTTTCCTGTTCATTCCCTTCCCAAAAACTCCACATGGTATGCACCAGCCAAAACAGCCTAACTAATAAAACTTGTGCAAAAAATAGTTTCATATTAATTGAATATTTTCGTTAAGCAGTTCTCATTTCCAATTAGAATCAATCGCAGTAGCTTTATCGTATACTCAAAAACAAAACCCACTAGCAAAGTACTACAAAAGCCAAAATTTAAGACAGATAGGTTACCAGTATTACTTTCACAACCCAAGAGTGTAATTATAAAATAAACAGAAATTTATTGCAACTACAAGTGCTATTCTAATATGGTAGGCATTAACCTGAAAATGAAGTTTTGATCAAGTTTTAAATCAATTACTCATTCTCACTGCACATTTGTCATTTTCAACAAATAACCAAGTTTAATTATCACCCAAAAGCGAATCAAGAGACACTTTTTTCTACAAACGTACAGAACTAAGAAACAGGAAGCCAATCAATCCTAGAAAATGTGAAAGAATCGGAGATTACCTTTGATAATCCAAGTAGAGAATCATTCCGCTTCCGCTACAACCTTAGGACCTGAGGATAATAATTAAAGAAAAAAAAAACTCAATTTGGAGAAAATCATGTCCCTAAACAAGAATATCAGTAGAGAGAAACCCTTTTTAGAGAGAGAAAGGTCACAGACCGTGGAGCACAGCAGGTCGGTTGTCCTTGCCCCAGCCAACGCCGCGAGTGGCGTCGAGGTACTGCTCAACAAGGTGGCGACACTTCTGGAGGTGATTGACGCCTTCGATTCGATAGCACCACTTGAGCTTCTCGCGAATAATCTTGGCCGTCTCGATCTGGATCCACTTCTCTCTCACCAAGTGCTCTCTCATCTCCAGCATCGCTACTGGATCCTTGTAGGGATTCTCCGGATCGAAGTCATCTGGAGCCCCTTCGTCGAACTCCACTCCCTTCTTCCTCACCATCTCTCTCTACCCTCTCTCTCTCTAAAAAGTGCAGAACAGATGGTTTTCTGGTTTGTGAAAACTGAAAAGAGAAGACTGACGATGATACAAATACGAACCCGGGCTGGAAATTTGGGTTCAAGTTCAGGATTGTGTCAATTTCTTCATGAGCCCAACCCCTAAAAAGGTAATAGGACACTAGCTTAATGAATCCATGGCCCATGCTTAGCCCAAAGGAGAGTTTTTGTTTTTTTTCTTCCTAGCCCAAAGAGAGTTGACCGTTGAGTTTTTCTTTTTATTTAAAAAAGACGTTTTAATTTAGTACGGAGTATTAATTTACTAATTGAAATTTGAAAAGTTAGGCATTATCAGCAATTTAGAAGCTCCTTTTAAGACTAAAAAGCTTAAACAAAGAGACCTTAGTTGGTACCTTCCCTAATTTGTTAGAAAAATAAAAAAAAAGTAAAAACTCCAATTAAAAATCCATATGGTTAGTCTAACCTCCCTATTAATCTGGGGGTCATCTATTTTCGGGCCATGGGTAAGACCAGTTATACACCTTCCACTCACTACCAAGCTGCCACCAAACACGGATCGGATCATCTTCTCTGTCGTGATCAGTGACTTCAGTATCTTCAAAACAAGAAAACGAGAAAACAAAAATGAAAAGTAAAAAGAAGAAGAAAAACACGCGGCAAATATTAATGATTGGGACTCTGGAAGATGTGCACTTGGCTCCTACGCTCTGGGAACAAGGATATGTTCTTTTTTATTTCTTAAAAAATATTTTTTCCCCTCAGGTGGGTTCGTTTGTTGTTTTATTGTCTCATATGATCATATCACATTGTTATTCTTGGTATTCATTTGTATCTGAAGTCATTTCTATACTTTTGTAGAAAATGACAAGGGTCTAAATGTAACCCATTTCTGTGACGCACTCATGGTGTTTGAGAATTTGAAGGTTGAGATCCTGATGCATATATCATATATGATAAGCTTTATATTGGATTTTCTTCTGACTATGGTGCTTATGGTTTTCTCTCAACTTTCCTGTCATATTTAAACTTTCCAGTTGGGGTGCTAAATTTTACATACTGACTGTGAGATACTGTTGTCCTAGCGGTTTTGGGTCTTAAATCTCAAATCATACCACGGTTTCGAGGTAAAGAGAAAAAAAAAAAAAAAAGAAGGGAAATGGATACCTTTCATTTTGATACACATAGTTAAAATCCCAATCTCTCGCTCTTTTTCTGAGACATAATCAGGCTTAAAAACATGCAACATTTGATGGTCCATGTTTTCTCACTTTTCGAAATGTTGGTCCAAGTTCTCTTACTTTTTGTGGTACTGTTAGATTGAATTGTGTGTTTCTCAAATAATGTACGTTTTCTGTGATCATAGATACTGATTGAAGTTCATGTACATAACTATATGTATGTTATATATATACATATATATGTTATAAAATAGGGATAGACATTATTAGGAGATTAACCATTCAAAGTCTTCTCTGCTTCTGCTCCTCTTCCTCCTCAGTTCCATTTTCAGTTTTGGCGTTTTAGTAACTCGTAAACAAGAAGTACCTACAATTGATCATTACAATTATTGTGTCTTATAGCTTCATGCCAGTCTGAATTGCTGTACAAATTAATGTCACAATTAACTTGACATCATTTGACATAGAATGTTTTCTTGTTTTTTTTCAATTGCAATAGTTGTAAAGAACAACTTGAATTTGTTATCTGAATTAAAGTATTTGTTGATTGCCTCCTCAATGACTTCATTATTTCCCTGATATCTAGCTATATCAAAAAAAAAAAAAAAAAAAAAAAAAAAAAAAAAAAATTGGCAAGTGAAATCTAAGCTAATTCACCAGAAGAGTCCATAGGAGATTTATTTCCTGTCCTATTATCAGATAAAAGGGGGAAATAAGATGAATAGGGGTGTACTATTGGCTACACTTCTTGTTATATCTGCTTGCTCTACATCTTTGACACATTTTATAAGAAAGTTACTGAATTGTAGCAGTTCTTCCACCATTGAATAAGCCATTTATCCATGGTCACCTCAAATGAAATGGTAGGCTTTTTCTCATCTACTATGTCTATGTTTGATCTGATCTAGAATCTTCGCATTATTGCTCGGATGGTACTGAAATACCCCCACTTTTTTGGAAAACACATTAATATAGGTATGTAGTATACACACACACATGCAGATTGACATGTTCTTCACAGCCATGGGTTGCACAATCTTCTCTTGCTATAAAAAGTAGACCAAGATGTGGTGACAAATAAATAATTTCAAATAGTTCTAGTTTAAATGAATAATGGTATGAAAAGCACACTCCATGAACTGTTCTGTAAGTGTTGAGAAATTTAGAAATTTATGTTCTTTCTTGTCAGATTTAGCTAAATTTAGTAATTCAGTAATTTAGATATTGGTAGCAGATATTGATATGATCCAAGTTGCTTTTTATATGCTATTCAGAGTTCGGTTATTCGTTTTATTTCTACTTTGTTGCAACCTGTAACTATCTATTAATAATTGTGGATTTTGGCCTTCAAGCAGTCCTGCACTTCTCGAGCCATGTCATTAAATGATAGATTTTTTGTTCTTTCTTGCTGAAGGAGTTCAACGGTGTCTTGATTTTCTGAAAACACTTTAACTATATTTATATAGTTGAGCCTTGAAGCCATATGCCCCACTCAAGCATTTCATCATGAAGTCCATAATAAATCGCCACAAAAAGAAATATGGGAGACTTAACAGCTCAAATAAAGCTGTTAGTGATGTTTTTGAACCTACAGCAAATAGTAATGGTGAGACGATATCTGTGGAATATAAATTATTCCTACATTTTGCTCATATTCCCTGTCTATTAAACTTAGATTTTTTTTTTCCACTTCCACAGCTAAGCAGCGAGCAGCTCTGGTAGAGTGGTTAAACAGTGTCTCTCCAAATTTAAATTTGCAAACAAATGCTTCAGAAGAGGAACTGAGAAGGCGCTTGATTGATGGTATTGTTTTATGTCGGATTTTGAACAGGCTAAAACCCGGTTCTGTGACTGAGGTTGTTAAGTAATTTTGACTGGCTTTTATTAAGTGTCATGAAGGCTCCATCTGGATAAATGAATGAATTTGAAATGAAATGGATTTGACTTTAAAAAAATAATGTTTATGCTATAATCCTTTAAACAATTGACCATAAATCCATTAATTTCAACCCCTTCAATCCAAATAGAGCCGAAGAGATGGAGATTGGTTCTAGAAGTACTAATTATGCTATTATTGTGCATCTTCCATTCTAGTTTGGCAGTTCTGATTTTTCTTCAAAGTCACGATCAGAAAATGTTAAAAGGTTTCTGGAAGCTATGGATAAAATGGGGTTGCCCAGGTTCCAAGTGTCAGATCTAGAGAAGGTATTCAATGTTTAAATTAGCTAGTATTTTCTCATCGTAAAAATATGATAACATGTGATTTGATTGAGGTTATGACCTTATACAAAGTGGAATGGAAAAATAAGATTCAAAAATCCGACCCCAAGTAGATGGAAAAGGCTTTGTTGAGTCAAATTGAGTTAATTTATATGCTGATGAACATATCTTAGATCAGGATTATGCAAACATCACAATTCTTGGTCATGAAAAGTTGAACTTAGCATATATGTAAAATAAATATCATCACAATTTGTGAGGCTGCAACAAATTTGCACATTTCTATGTGCCATTATGTATACATATTGAAACCTAAGTTATCACTCTGTCAAGTTTTATATCCTTAATCTCTCTCATTTCTTCCTTTTATATTCACAGGGTTCAATGAAAACTGTTATGGAGTGCCTTCTAACACTTAAAGCACAATTTATGCCAAATATTGAGGGAAATAATCTTCCTCCTAGTTCAGCAGATAAATCTGTAAGTGATGCTAGTATGAGGTGGAAACTCTTGGGAGAGCGTTTCGGAGGCAATACTCAAGGTGAAGTACCTTCTAAGGCTAGTTCAGCAGAGAAATCAGTAAGTGATGCTAGTGTGAGGTGGAAACTCTTAGGAGAGCATTTTGGAGGCAGCACTCAAGGTGAAGAACCTTCTGGAGTATATCCTTCTACGTTATCTGGAGGAGAGAGGCGAAAGTGTGACCCAGATTCAAAATTTCAACGTGCTTTGCGAAGTCCTGTCAGGACTGGTATGGTTCTTCATGTGTGTAGTATGTATGCAAAGTGTTGTTGCATTGAATCATGAAAACAAACTTATTATGACATAAATCTTGCATGGATACATTTTGGGGATTCACATATTAGATCAGTGTGTATGCTACATTTGCAGGTGTGTCATATACAGTTTTATATTGTACTACCTGCTCTATTTGGAATTGGTGAAATCTACAGCTAGCATGTTTGAAATAAATAATTGGATTTTAGATTATTTTCTGTTTTATTGAAAGAGCATACAGTTTTCCTGTGCAAAAAAATGTACCAGTAGATAGTTCTTGTTCAGTTTCCTGAGTCCCACTCTTCTTCCATTCAATATGTTGATTCTTTTACCCCTTTTGTAGAGCCATCATCTGCATTAATGCATGATGTTGGACATAAGTTCCAACAAGTGTTTCAGCTCAAACAAGGAAGCTATTCAGATCTTTCTGCTGCAAAGGTTTCAGAAATGATGAAATCAAACAATTTGGACGTGAGTTCCTGAAGTATATGCTCATCATTGGACCTTATCAATTGGTTAGATTTAAATCTGTTTTTTTATATCATCATTTTGTGATGCTGTAATTTATTCTTCTTTTTTTATCTCTTGTGCAGAATTGTCCAACTCAGTCTCTTTTGAGTGTTGTCAGTGGAATCTTAGATGAAAGCATAGGAAAGAAGAATGGTGAAATACCTCATGTATGTCAAAAATAGATATATGGTGGTTAAATTGAAGCCCATATTTTATTTATTTTATGCCCATTTAACTTAAAAATATAAACTCTCTCATCATCTAGTTTCTCCCTTTCCTCAGCGTGTTGCATGCCTATTGAGAAAAGTTTTGCAGGAGCTTGAGCGGCGTATTTCTACTCAAGCAGAACAACTAAGAACTGTAATATTCGTTACGAGTTTGTTTCATTAATGGTTTTTGTTGACTGGCTGCGCTAATTTATTTTCTGTTTTGTAACTGAAGCAAAACAGTCTTTTCAAAGCCCGCGAGGAGAAGTACCAGTCGAGAATCAGAGTACTTGAAGCCGTCGCAACTGGGACTGGTGATAAGACACGGGTACTACATACATATATGTTTTCTTAGTTCTATTTAGATAGATAGCCAACTGCAAGTGTTGGGAAAAGGCTTTGTTTGAGATGTTGAGTTGAGTTCTATGTAGAATTGGATTTATATTTATGTAGATGTGGTCCAACAAATGAAAATTTCTTAGTTACAGATTGTCATGAACAAGCTCCAGCACTTTAAGGTATAATTTGCTTTCTTGAGTTCCTTTTACATTTTTCTTTATCTATTAGTTGGTCCAGAAATGTGAGAACTTGTTTTCTGTTGTTTATATATAACTTTGAACTGATTATATACATGTGATACTCTTCTGGGTGTAATGTACTGTCTGGCATTTGCTTTTTGTTGAACTTGTGATCATATTATTTCATAAATCCCTCTTCAGTTCCTAACCTCTATTGCTAACATGGATAAATTATTACCTTTAATATTTGTTGGTGGTGAACTATTGCATAATTTTTAAAGCTGCCTAACAAATATCACTTTATTATTGCACACTATTGACCGGTTACTGAGAGTTAATTTGTAGAATTTCCAATCCTTCTCTGATTGTCAATATTTTGCTGCATAGCTGATGTTTTATTGTCAGCAGTGAGGAAGAAGGCTCAGAAGAATCATCCTCAATGAAAATATTATGTTTTGGGATGTCATTTTCATTCGATTTTATTTAGAATGGCTTTTCTGTGTTATTTGTTATAAAGTAGAGGGCAATGGCAGTCTTGCCTCGTCTACCTTGTGATGGTACTTTTGAACAGCTGAAGCCCATGAAAGAAGAAATAGTTTTATGTTCCACATCGAGCATATTGGTTGGTGAGTCAAAGACCAAAGCTGACCTGGGTTAATGCTGTAAAGTTAGAGTATGTTCCATAGTGAGGTTGTTGGTTGGGTGTTAGAATGTTATATATATATATATACATGTGTTGGGTCATTATGTAATTACATATAGTTGATAGGGCCCTTGTGTTATTAAGTAAGACTTGTACCCTTTATATACGCCTACATAGGCTTATTAGGTTTAGTGTGTTGAGCAGATACAAGAAATGGTTGTTCTTTCTCTCTCTCTCTCTCTCTCTCTCTCATATGATTTTGAACATGGTATCAGAGCAACACGATCATGGGCGTGAGAGTCTATAATTGGGTTGTTCGTGTATAAGATCGGCATCACGATTGTGGTGTTGGTGGTCTCTGTCGGCAGTTCCTCGTTCGTCGCCATTAGCAGCTGATCGTTTATCGTCGTCGTCAGATCTGCAGCTTCGTTCGTCGTCGTCAGATCTGAAGCTTGTTCGTCGTCGTCTCTACCTTGTTTGTCGTTGCCGACAGCTCCTTTTTGGTTGTCAGCAAGCTCGTCGACATCTGCCGTCTCGATTTGCAGAGGTAAGGTTCGTCTTTTTTGGTCGGAAGTTGCAACAGTCGTTGCTTATTGATTCGGCCGTTGCTTGTGATTGAGTTGCCGCCGCCTCCATTGCGTGTTCACTGGCGTTTGTGAAGGTGTGAAGAAGAAGACCCATGTTTGGCTACACGGTTATGCTATTCCAACCCTGGTTTACTAAACCTGGGATAGCTATTCCAACCCTGGTTTACTAAACCTAGGATAACTATTCCAACCCTGGTTTACTAAACCTGGGATAGCCCAGATCCGGCCCGTTCGACAGGTTCATCCAGAATACAAATTCTGCAATTTTTTTTTTTTTTTTGTTTTTTTTCTTCTCTGCTTTGCTGGATTCAACATGGCGTCCAGTTCCGATATACTTTCTTCCACGTCCAGTCTTCATTCTCCCATGACTTCAGTTAAACTCAATGGGAAGAATTACATACTGTGGGCTAAATCTGTTGCAATTTTTCTCAAAGGCAGAGGTCTTGGTACTCATCTGACTAAAGATAAACTAAAGGAAACTGATACTTCTTTTGTTGCATGGGAAAAGGAAGATGTTCAGATCATCTCTGTGATGATAAACAGTATTGAACCCCAAATCAGTTCAACTTTACTTTATTTGGATACTGCCAAGGAGATATGGGACAGATTGCAGCAATTGTATTCTGGGACAAGTAATATCACTCGTGTTTATGAGCTTTGTAAGCAGTACTTCAATTTTGAACCAGGTAATCACAGTATAGAAGAGTATTATTCAAAAGTTATGGGAGTCTGTGAGGAGCTGAATATGTATCAGCCCATTACTGCTGATGTTCGAAGTATGCAACAACAGCGTGAGGACTTTAATATTGTCCGTTTTCTTACTGGTTTGTCATCAGCATATGAGTCTTTTCGTGCACAGATTATGGGCAGTCCCACACTTCCATCTCTTGCTGAGGTGTTTTCTCGACTTCAGCATGCTACACTTGCAAGTGACACCTCCAATTTGAATACTGGACAGAGTGGTGAGCGTTCAGCATTGGTAGTTTCAAAGGGTGAACATAATGCTTATCATGGAGGTCGTGGGGGACGCTACACACGTGGTGGTCGTGATTCACGGGGAGGACGTGGCAGGGAATCAAGAAAATGTACTCATTGTGGTCTTTCTAATCATACTGTGAACTTTTGTTGGGACCTTCATGGCAAGCCATCTAGTTATGCAAAACAAGTTTCCTCCTCTCTGAATGATGTTGCTTCTGGATCTCACAACGTAGCTAAATCAGACACGGTCCCTGTTCCACGGGATGAGTATACTCAGTTTTTGTCTTATAAGCAAGCATCTAATTCATCTTCCACGGCTACCTTTGCCAGTCAGGTACTGCACACACGTGCCTATTGTCTTCTACTCGCAGTCCTTGGATCATAGACATTGGAGCATCTGATCATATGACTGGATGTTCTTCTCTTCTATCTGATTTTAATTCTGTAGCTCTTTCTCAAAGTGTTACTCTTGCTAATGGTTCATCCACTAAGGTTTCAGGTTTGGGGACAACTCAACTTAGTGATTCCTTGTCTCTCTCATCTGTTTTACATGTTCCTCAGTTTCCCTTTAATTCAATGTCTATCAGTAAGCTTACTAAATCTCTCCAGTGCTCTGTTACATTTTATCCTACTTCTTGTGTGTTTCAGGATCTCAAGACGAAGAAGAAGATTGGTACGGGGCATGAAGCTGGTGGCTTATATTATTTTGATTTGGAACCTTATCCTGTGGCTCTTCAGTCTTCTCTGTCTCCATTCTAGTGGCACTGTCGTCTTGGTCACCCATCACTTCAAGTTTTGCAGCGTTAAGTTCCTAGTCTTAGTCATTTAAAATTCTTGTCATGTGAAGTTTGTCAACTTAGTAAGCACCATCGCGTGCCTTTCAAGTCTAGGGTTAATAATCATGTCTCTAGTCTTTTCATTTGGTTCATTCAGATGTATGGGTTCTAATAAAGCATTCTTCAATCAATAAATTTCATTATTTTGTGACATTTGTGGATGATTATTCTCGCCTGACTTAGTTGTTTCTAATGAAAGATCGTTCTGAGTTATTTTTAATTTTTCAAAAATTTCGAAAAGAAATCAAAACTTAGTTTGGATGCTCAATTCGTATTCTACGTTCTGATAATGCTCAGGAATAGTCTGCAACTCCTTTTGATACATATCTTAGTGATAAAGGAATTATTCATCAAAATTCATGTGTTTATACTCCTCAACAAAATGGAGTTGCAGAACGTAAGAATCGACATCTCTTAGAAGTAACTCGTGCTCTTTTGTTTCATATGCATATGCCTAAACGGTTTTGGGGTGATGCTGTTCTTACTGCCCGTCATCTTATTAACCGTATGCCGTCATCTATATTAGATGGCAAATCTCCACATTCTATTTTATTTCTTGATTCTCCCTTGTTTTCTCTTACTCCTAGAGTTTTTGGATGTGTATATTATGTCCAAAACCTTAGTCCTGGTTTTGATAAACTAGACCCACGTGCCACAAAGTGTGTATTTCTTGGCTACTCTCGTTCTCATAAAGGTTATCGCTGCTATAGTCTTGTTTCTCAACGGTACTTTATTAGCGTTGATGCAACCTTTTGTGAGTCCATCCCATATTTTTCAGATACTGATTCACTTCTTGATATCACTCTTGAGTCACCTTTTTCTGTAGTTCTTCTTCCCTCACCTTTTCTTCAACCTAGATCTCTGGTTCCTTCTCCTGCCCCAGTACAGGTGTACACTCGAAGACCAAAGCCATCTTCTGTCGTGCCTCCTCCATCGTCTTCAGAGTCTTTGGATCCAACACATTCCACTGTGTCTGATTCCTTGCCTATTGCACTTCGTATAGGTACTCACTTGTGTGTCACTAATCATCCCATTGCTCAATATGTCTTTTATAATTCCTTATCGCCGTCATTCTCATGTTTTTCCACTCAGTTGTCTACTATATTTATTCCTAAAACTGTGCAGGATGCTTTGTCTGATTCAGGCTGGAGGAAAGCAATGCAAGATGAAATGGATGCTTTGCATCAGAATGGCACATGGAATCTTGTTCCATTACCTCCAGGTGCCAAACTTGTTGGTTGTCGCTGGGTATATACTGTGAAGTATCTTCCCAATGGGTCCATTGAGCGTTTAAAAGCACGTCTTGTTGCCAAAGGTTTTACCTAGACTTTATGGTATTGACTATGATGAGACGTTTGCCCTCGTTGCTAAGATTTCTTCTATTCGTGTTTTGATTTCTCTTGCTGCTAATAGAAATTGGCCTCTGTTTCAGTTAGACGTTAAAAATGCCTTTTTGCATGGTGATTTAACAGAAGAGGTTTATATGGAGCAACCACCTGGGTTTGTTGCTTGGGGGGAGTATCTTCACACTGTTTGTCGCCTTAAAAAGGCCCTGTATGGATTGAAACAATCTCCACGGGCTTGGTTTGGAAAATTCTTTGAGGTGGCATTAAAATTTGGTCTTAACAGATGTCAGACCGGCCATTCAGTGTTTCACCAGCGCACTAAGGCTGGCTTCATATTTCTTGTGGTGTATGTAGATGATATTGTGATCACAGGTGATGATTCTGAAGGCATTGCTAAGTTGAAGTTGTTTTTACAATATCGATTCCACACTAAAGGCTTGGGTAAACTTAGGTATTTCTTGGGTATTGAATTTGCTAGATCCAAGAAGGGTGTAAGTTTATCCCAACGAAAATATGTGTTGGACTTATTAGAAGAAACAGGTATGTTGGGTGGTCGTCCAGTTGATACTCCTATGGATTCAAATACAAAACTTGTATCTGATAAGGGTGATTTATTTAATGACCCGGGCAGATTTCGTCGCCTTGTTGGGAAATTAATTTATCTCACTGTCACTCGACCTTTTATTTCATATGCAGTTAGTGTTGTAAGTCAGTTCATGGGAGCCCCTAGAATGCCACATTGGATTGCTGTTCTTCGGATTATCCGATATCTCAACCAAGCTCTAGGTTTTGGGTTACTATATAAATCAAATGGTCATCTCAGGGTGGAAGGTTTTACAGATGCTGACTAGGCTGGTTCTCCTTCAGATAGGAGATCTACTACAGGCTACTGCACATTTGTAAGAGGAAATCTTGTTACATGGCGAAGTAAAAAGCAAACGGTGGTAGCTCGATCTAGTGTTGAAGCTGAGTATAGGGCAGTGGCCCATACCACTAATGAGTTGACATGGATACAAAATTTTCTAAAAGAACTTAGGTTGACAGTTGAAGCTCCTACTTCATTGTTCTGTGATAATCAAGCAGCAGTTCACATTGCATCAAATCCTGTGTTTCATGAGAGGACCAAACATATTGAAGTTGATTGTCACTTCATTCGAGAAAAAATATTATGTGGGAGCATCTCTACTCCATTCATGAAGTCTGAAGATCAATTTACTGATATGTTTACCAAAGCATTGGGTCATAACCGGTTAAGAACTACCTGTTCCAAGCTGGGATTATTTGATATATATTCTCCAGCTTGAGGGGGAGTGTTAGAATATTATATATATATATACACACACACACACATGTGTTGGGTCATTATGTAATTACATATAGTTGATAAGGCCCTTGTGTTATTAAGTAAGACTTGTACCCTTTATATAAGCCGACATAGGCTTATTAGGTTTAGTGTGTTGAACAGATACAAGAGATGGTTGCTCTCTCTCTCTCTCTCTCATATGATTTTGAACAGGTTAGTGACACCAGAACTGGCCTAGATTGATAAAGGAAAGAAATGATTGCATATAGCTTAATTAAAATTACGACTCTTATAAACGGAATGGTATGACATGATTCATGTAGCCATTGGCATATAGTTGGGACTTGAATATTGTACAAGTAGGGATGAAACTTCATCCGTCGCTACCTTTACATACAGAAAATGACAATTTGCTTTGATGTGCTTCTTCTCCCTGGAAAAAAACTGATTTCTTAGCAAGCTTGTTTAGTTTAACATGAAGGTATATCGACTTCAATTCAGCCCTTCTTCTAATAAGCACATTAAAATCATATCACAACTAGTATCAACCATTGATCTATAATTTGCTTTTACATGCTTCGAGTTGAACACAATAGAGAGGGAGTAAGAAAGAAGAAAATCATTTAACCATAACTACATACTTTTGTACATTAGTCTTTTTGAGTTTTCTCTGACAATATGTACCATGGGCCTTGTAGTTCAAGTAGTACCTGAAAAGAGTTAATATACATAAGCCAGGGGTTCAAACTTCAAACCCCACCAACATTGGTTTCTAAGAGAATGATAGCTGATTACCAATAATAAAATCTAGAGAGTCAACCAAGTTGTGACTCCCAATTTAAGAAGCTGAGCTTTAGAATTCTGTCCAAGAGAATTCACCAGTTTTTTTTGTTGTTAACCAGTAAAAACATTGTGATAAACAACAAAACCAATTAATCCCTTTGAATCAGTTTTTAGTATCATATGGCCAAGACAAACTCAGTGTGATGGTTGTCAACACAAAGTGGCAATTTTGTGATTGATGCAATAATGAAAAAGATACAGTTATCTTGTGAGGTCCAAAACAGTAATAGGCACATGTTATGTGCAAGTTTTTTATTTTATACCGAATGCTCATTTGACAAGCTAACTATTGATATGAAGAAATGGTTAGGTATAATAGTGATTAAACAAAAGGTTCTCCCACATTTTTTCATATTGGAACACGAAGAATAAGAGAAGCAAAAACCTTTCATGAATCAAGGAACGTATTGAGTTATGATGTGACAATCTTTTTTCTTTTAAAGGAGTCTTGGAGTCCCATGGTATGGTATGCTCTCCTCTGAAACACCTTATTCCTTCAAGAACAAGAGGCTCTCAAGCTTCTTTTTTTTTTTTTTTTTTTTCAAAATTTGAGTGCTGATTGATACACCTCCTTTCATCGAGGATATTTATACATATATCTTATATCTTTTCACTCTTGATTTCCTATCTTTGCTTTAACACTATCACCAAATTGCTCCCATGTGCCACGTGCACATGTGGGCAGTGAGAACGTGGAACTGGATTTTTACTGCTAGAATAAATTAGATACCAATTTGCTTTTGTGTATTTTCTTTCCTTTCAACTTTTTTTGCACTGCTGATTTGTGATGTTTGTTTTTTTTTTTTTTTTAAGAATGAGAAGACCAAAATGGAAGAAGAAAAGAAACTCGAGGAGCAGGATGTGATTAGACTGATGGAAGAGAAGGATCACAGCACTCATGAAATTTCTGCATTGAAGCAAGAGTTGGAAATAGTTAGTAAAAACTACGAACAACGATGCTTGCAAATGAAAAAAGATGCTGCGGGAGCTCAGAAAGAGCTTGAGGAGAGGTTGAAAGAAGTTGTGAACCTCTTAAAGGAATCAAGGAATAGGGTTAAAGAGCTTGAAGCATATTCTGACACAAAATTTAAGCGCTGGGACAAAAAAGAGCACATCTACCAAATATTTACTGACTTCCAGCTTGGTGTACTGCGGGTATGCTTTACCTATGTTTTGTTTTTTCATCTTTATTTTAATTTCATATATTACATTTGGATTTAAAACTTTTCAGGAGCTGAGGTTTGCTTCCGTGTCAATCAAGCAAGAACTTTTGAAAACACAAAAAAGCTATTCAGAGGAATTTCATCGCTTAGGTGGGGTCTCTTATTCACTAACCTTTTTTTTTTTTAACTTCAGGATATATGTGAAGACATGTGCTTACGAATTAAAATTTACCCCTGTTCAGGGACAAAGATCAATGCTTCAGCTGATGCATCAGAAAAGTATCATGTAGTCCTCGCTGAAAATCGGAGGATGTATAATGAGCTTCAAGATTTAAAAGGTGCCACTAATTAATTTTACATTTTTAACTTGTAATACAGTAGAGTTTTATATGTCACTTATGGATTTTCTTGAATAGGAAATATTAGAGTTTATTGTCGGATAAGGCCATTTCTTCCTGGGCAGACGGGAAAACCGTCAACAATAGGATATATAGGTGAAAATGGGGAACTGGTTGTGGTAAACCCCTCCAAACAAGGAAAAGATGGTCATCGATCATTTAAGTTTAATAAGGTCTACGGTCCAGCCACAACTCAAGGTATTGGCCTTTATGCTAATGACTTTGTATGAGCTTTTGTCAAATGGGAATTTGTTTCATTGATGATGGCACATGTTATTGGTTTTTTATTCTATTTACCTACATTGTCCATAAAGAAAATTGCGAGGTATGATGCTTGATTATATGTACTTTCTGAGTGCTTGCAGCGGATGTATTTTCTGATACCCAACCCTTGATACAATCTGTTCTTGATGGATATAATGTATGTATATTTGCTTATGGTCAAACTGGTTCAGGGAAAACCTACACAATGGTACTACTCTCTTTTTTTTTTTTTTTTCAACAATTTATTTACAGATATCTTTTAAACTTAGCCAATGTGATCTAATATGCTTCTTCCAGACCGGTCCTGAAGGAGCATCTGGAGAGGAATGGGGGGTCAATTATCGAGCTTTAAATGACCTTTTTGATATTTCTGAGACTAGAAGCAGTCTCTTTACCTATGAAATTGGGGTTCAAATGGTTGAGATATACAATGAACAAGTGCACGATTTACTATCAAGTGATGGCTCTGAGAAAAGATATCCTTCTCTATTTACTATCATCCATTATCTTGCATGAAGATTTGCTTTAATCCATTATCTCGCATCAAGATTTGCTTTACATATATAAGTGGATTTACGTCTGGCTTGATTATATACTATATTGCCTTCCAGACAAGCCTTCTCTTTTTTCTCCCTTCACTTGACTTGCATCATAATTTATATCAGATATTACTTTGGTTATATCTACTTTTGCTTTTCTTATCATAAGCATTCTAAAGTTTAATTTTTCTTCTTTTACATTTTGTTGACTGGACATCCTTATCTTACTAGTGTTTGATTAATGAAGAATACAGTATCCCATTTTTTTAAGAACAGTACTTGCCGCCTCACCACTGATGTGGCACAAGGATATATTGACACGTGTCCAATTTGTATTTAAAATATGCAAAGAAGAAATAAAATAAAACGTCTTAATTTTTTTCCCTCTTCTATATTTTAATTCAAAATGGACACTAACAGGCATTTGTTTCCCTTGATTTGCACACACTTGAGATTCTGTCTACCTCCCAACCCAGCGAGTTAGCTGTCCCTAATGCTAGCATGAACCCTGTCAAATCAACCTCAGATGTATTGGAATTAATGGAAACTGGATTGCGAAATAGAGCTAAAGGTGCCACTGTCTTCAATGAAAGAAGCAGTCGATCACACAGGTTTTTTATTCTAAATGTTAATAAATTAACTCAAAATTCTGTATATTATCTGGACGATGATGTTGATTTGGATTTCTGCACACAGTATTCTCAGTATTCATGTCCGCGGGACAGATCTGAAGACTAGTGCTTCTTTACGTGGTAGTCTTCATTTGGTAGATCTTGCAGGAAGTGAAAGAGTAGATCAATCCGAGGAAACAGAAGATAGACTTAAGGAAGCACAACATATAAACAAATCTTTATCTGCCCTAGGAGATGTCATCTTTGCTTTGGCACAAAAGAGCCCTCATGTTCCTTACAGAAACAGCAAGCTTACTCAAGTCCTTAAAAGTTTTCTTGGTACTCATTTGTAATTTATTCCCTTTATTCTTGGGATGCTTTGGGATGTTTCATAGTTTCTTTAAGTTAGTCTATTCGTCTATTCCTTTGCATGCCTCTCAAGGCTAGGAGGGTTGGCATGCACTGTGTGCGCGCTTCATATTTTCTTATTATTTTTAGGTTATTCTGCCTTCGCCATCTACTCCCTGAACTATTTTGGTTGCAGTGGGTTCTATTTCTGATGTTGTGGTGAAGTTCGAATTATTTGAAAGCTACTTCGCCCATGAATTATCCTAAACTAATAAGATAAAGCATGACCAATTAGGAGGGAAAAATTGGTGTTTTCTGAATATTCTTAAAAAAATTCTTTGTAAGTGGATCTAATACATATGATTTTTGTATTTTAAGCTAAAGGTGGTCGAGCGAAAACCCTTATGTTGGTGCAGCTTAATCCTGATGTAAGTTCGTATTCTGAAACTATAAGTACCTTGAAGTTTGCAGAGAGGGTCTCTGGAGTTGAGCTAGGTGCTGCAAAAAGCAGCAAAGAGGGCAGGGATGTTACGGAATTAATGGAACAGGTACTCTCTTTTTCATTTCATGTCCTTTTTCATTCATGGTTAGAATGTCTAAATGTTCTCAAACTAGAGTTCGTCCTGCACTGATCACTTCTACTGATCCTTTATTTTGAAGATCAAGTATTGATGAAACGTTCTTTAGCTAGAACCTATGTGCTAATAATTTCATGATTTCGAGATTATGTTTGAAATTCCCTATATATATAAATGGGTTAGTATCATGAAGGAACTGAAAAAAGGGAAACAAATGATATGAATGTCAACAAGAGAGAAACAAAGAGCGAACCTCTTTACAGAAAACGTAAAAGTTGGTACACAAAAGAAGTTTGGAATGTACTCTGCTGGGAGGGTTGATTGAGAACATATTTTGTCTTTCTTTTCTTTTGTTGGTATTTAATGCTTGCAGTTCAATATATAAAAACCTAATAAATAGGGGAATAATAATGATTGAGGGACATGTAATCATACTTTTTTCCCACTCAGTAAAATTCCTCAATCAACCCGCTAGCCATCCTTTGGGGGAAAATGCCTTTATTTGTCAGAGTTGGGAGCTTTTAAGGAGTGCCTGAGGCACTTGATAGCTTGCCCCCTACCATGCTCTTGCATCAGATAGAACTGCTTTCCGGGGATAGAAACCATGGTATTTCTTCTGATTGATTGTCTATCTTTATGGCTTTGCCAGAGCTGTGTATATTTCCTCTTTTTAAAATAATAATAATAATAATAAAGAATAAAAGCTGTGCAAATTTCGCATTGCGTTCTCTTTTTGTTTCCATTTTTCTAGATACATTGCGAACATACATTGTCCAACTGTAAAAGATATGGTTGTTTATTATATTTGTGATGTTTCATTCCATCCCCAACTACATTAAGAAATCAGAACTAATATTAGTGATGCTTCAAAGCACATATAATGTCGTATCTTATAAAATTTTTTGACCATGCAGGTGGCATCTCTCAAAGATACAATTGCAAAGAAAGATGAGGAGATTGTGCGGTTGCAAATGCTTAAAGATCTCAAAAATGTGTATCATGGTGTCATAAGCGAGAAGCGCACAAGCTCATTCAGGTATGTTCCTCTCTGAACAAAAATTCTTCAAGTAAAACTCAACGGAACTTATATTGGTCTGCTGGGAAAGGCTCAGGACTTTACCAAGAAATTGCTTCTAATCAGGATAGCTACCTGATGAATAGTGATAAGCACTCTGAAACTTGTTACCAGCAGTCTATAGATGGTTTTGAGCACAAAAAGGAACCCCACTGGCAGTTAAAACCCGTCGGAAGGGACGTAGGTCAGAATTATTTTGTAGATGGGTAGATTTTAGGATTTGGCAGTATAGAGTATGAGGAGAGACTAATAAATGATAATTTGATGATGGTTTTTCTATGGGAACAGACACTGACGACTCTGTAAAATCCAATCTTCTCCCTGACGCAACAAAGTCATCAACTTAGACAAGTGAGTGTTGTTTATTTTCTTATGTTATTTTATACATTGTATATGATCAATTCTTGTATATATTTGAAGAGGAGAAGATTTTGAAAATTTCGCTTTATTTCTTATTCTTTATAAATAAATAAATAAAGAAGAGAAGAAAATTAGATGTGCTCGGTTGGTATAACTTTGTTTATAATTTGTCATGTAAAATCTTTTGGATGCAACTGATGGTGATACTATTAGTATTGTTTTGTCTCTCTAATGCACTCGAGGCCTCGAATTAAGACATTAATTGGTGTTTATTCTCAAAAGCATGATTTTTTTTTTATTTATTAAATTGTTACTCTCTTTTGTATCTCTATACAACTGCTAAATATATATGGCTTTTAGTGAAATGTTGTTAATTACTTGTGCAACATGTTTTTCTATATTCCAATTCATATTCGATGCTGAAGATTGGGCTTGGAATATCAAATCTATAACACGACTTAAGATTATTCAGTGCAGATCGGCAACTAGAATTCCTCGACACCCATCAAAATCACTAAATGACTCTTCAGACTTCAGAGGGTAAACCATTATATAAGGTTGGTATGTTCTAGATTAACTGTTATTCTTCTTGGTTAGAAAGTTGGTTAACACGTTGTTGATCTCCTGTATATTTTCTAGCACTGGTTTCAGGTTTGAGAAAATCTGCTTGCTAGTGGAAGCAATTGATCAGTTGAAGCCTGCCAAAAAGATGGCATTGGAAGGAAGTAATTGCAATTAATTTTTCTTTTTCTTTCTTTCTTTTCCTTGTGCAGTTTGCTAAAAAAAAAATCCTGTAGTGAGAAAAAAAACTGTACTGAGGTTCCTCATCTCTCCAACTATTTATTATTCATTGTCCGGTGGTCCTCACGCTGGGCAGTTTTGTATATATATGGTGTTAATGATAAAATTTTGAGGTTGAAATATGTGTGTGTGTATATATACACATTAATTTTTGAAAGAGGATTATGATATGCATTCTTTCAAGGGCAAACCAGTTATTTATGCCTATTAATCTAATTCACCACCCAACTACCCAAGTAACCCAATGATTATAAGCATATGAGTTCTCTTTAATTTGGCTAACTTTTGATTGGTGGTATGACTGGGAAAGTACTGTATTATGCTGATTACTGAATGAGATAAGAAGGAAGAATATTCAAACTGTAATGTTTGATCATGAACACTTCTTTATCAGTATTTCACCATTTAGGGGTTTTGACCGTACTGTGCTTCCAGGTCTAGAGGTAAGTTCTGGGTTATTTCGAATTGGATGTGAGGTGAAGGTCAAACCCTGGCTACAACCTCGCCAATGTAAAATATTATTATTATTATTATTTTACTTTTTATTAAGTAAGTACTAGAACAGGTCCACGTCCGGACTAAAACCAAACAACTTGGATAGAAGGTTATTCCATTGAGCTCCAAGCCCTTTAACTGTACAAAATTACAAAAATTGTCAAAACGCAATGGAACACGCGAGTTATTAAATATCACAATAATTTGAATATTATTTATAAAAAAAAAAGAGGGAAAGGTACATGGAAGAGTGGACACAGGAAAACAAAAAGCGCATTTGTATGCTCTGGCTAAAGAGATGTCCAACCAAGAAAGCCAGCCAAACAAAAACATTGTACCCCACGCCCGATATTAGAATCGTTGTTGACGTCGACAAATGCAATCAAACACAAGGAGATCAACACAACTTTTTGTCCACAAGCACAATGGAGATAGACACAACCACGTAGCCTCCAACGTTTCCAATCAACACAAATAGCCAACTTGCCTTATCATTATCACCTTCTCCGAACACTCAACAATATAATTGTGGCCATAACAATAACACCATAAACAAATGACATAAGTTGACTTTGGATGCTTCGTTGCAACAACAGCCATATCAATTGATTATCACATGCCTATATACAGAATCATAATTAAAAATAAAATACAATTCCAAATTTCAGAAAGACCTTTTTCTTTCTTGCCTTCATATTACAATTACATTGAGGACAAGAGTTGAAAAGGAGAGTCACAAAAACCCTCTCTAATAAATCACACCCTTCCCCAGACAAAAAGGGAAAGAACTAACAGAGAGAAGGAATTGTCCTTCGCTTAACTTATTGGATCAACATCTCTTATCAACTCACTACATATAAATATACATATTTTCATTTTGATACAAAACTTGACAAATGATTAACCATTTAAACATATATACAAAACTGTTAATAATTATAGTTCCTCTGCCCCCAAAAAAATCACCTCTGTTGTTCCTCCTCTGCTTCCGGGGAGGTTTCAATTTGAATTTGTTTTCTAAGCTACAGCGGAGATGCTGCTGCAATTTCCATGATCACGGCTCAAGCAATTGAACCCTTCAATTCTCACTGCAGCCGGCTTCTGACCGAACTTCATCCTAACACAAGACCCTCCTTTACGGGCAGCCGAGGACATAGATGCTGTCGGGATTGGTGCTGGTGCAAATAGACTAAGCTTGTTGCTGCCAAACTCGGCATCTTGAACTACAGGGTTTGAAGCCCTGCTTGGTGGCGACCCGCAAAAATATGGAGGCGGTGAAGCCACGCGGATATTATTGGCTTCTTCTGCACAATATATTCCCTACAAAAAATTTTAAAAAGAAAACTATGAAATGAATTTAATCTCGAGAGGAACCACGGCCAGCAAGCTTAAAAATGAGGAAAATAATATATATATATATATATATATATATATATATATATATATTTAAAATACTTACTTACAACAGGAGTGGGGCACATAAATTCTCTTTTTCCACTCTTTTTTTCTATCATAAGACTTATCTACCCCTATATTTAATTTTTTTAAATAATTTCTTACCACTACATTCCATATACTAATTGAATCTTCCTATAAGTTAATGTTGCTTTGGATTGCGTAAAAGTACATGTACATATGTATTTAAGAAACTAAGCATGATTTTCTTTTCTATTCAAAGTTAAATTCCTTTACTCGTGCGTTTTTCTCATCTCAACAACCAAACTCTACTTAGAAAATATGCTTAACCAACATAAACAATCCCTCACTAAGAAGTACCTTGATACCAAAAATAACAAAACAAATAAAAAAATTCTTACTAAGAAGAAATATATTTGAATCATGTATATTCCACTGTTGCAGAGAAATGAAACAAAAATTACCCTGTTGCTATGCATCCTATATATTTTTTATGCATATGTATCATGATGTATACGTATTATGTAAAGGGTAGACTCATCCCCACAGGGTTTCTATAAAGTTAAATTAATTTGATATTTTCATTTCCCACCTTTACTCGAGAGTGTCTAGAAAAAAATTATCCACAATTTGAATTCACAAAAGAGAGAGATAGAAAGAGAAAAAGAAGATGATACCTTAGTCAGAATAATGTCCAGAAGCTCCGCCCCTGCTTTTGAATCACAGATCTCCGTTTGATGGCTGTTATTATTAGGTAAGAAACAACAGCAAAAATGGAAAAATAAAAATAAAAATTAGATTTTTGATATAAATTGAAGGAGACAAATAAATTCCATGAATTAAGCTAATACATACTTGATGTGCCTTCTTGGAGATCTGATCTGGTCGTTGATGGAGGGAATGAAACGGCCGAGTCGGCGAGGCTTCGGGCAGACGACGGAGTCAGAGGCAGAGACAGAAGGTCCACTCATCTCTCCACAGGCCGCGAACACGTTCTGCTGATATGCACATCGATTCATCTTGGCTTGTACAGATCGAGATCTACACAACAAACACCTGTACAGAGTTGCAGATCCAATCTGCATATACATAAAAATGAAACAAAAAAATTAATGGAAGAGAGAGAGGAAGTAAACGAGATATTAACAGAGAGAAAGGGGGTCTAGACAGAAAGAGATACCTGAGCTGCCCTATTGGTGGTGGCTCACGGTTTGGAGAGAGAAATTTGAGGGGAGAGAGAGGACCAGAGAAGAGAGGGAGAGGGTCGTCCAGTATTCATAGGAAGAGAGCTAGGAGAGAGAAGCCCAAGCACGGGAATGAGCTAAACTAAGATATGGTCGAGTGGTGCATTAATTTTGTGAGGTCGCGTCTGTCGACCGTCGGATCCGTTTGTTCTTTAACAATATGTCAACGTAGGAGTATGTTTTACGTTTCACCACTATTGTGATAGTCAAATTCTTGGACGGTAATGAAAATTTAACATTAAATATCTTTCCCAAAAAAATGTTTTTTTATATAAAATTTTATTTTATTTTTATTTTTTGGTAAAGATTTGGAAAAAAATTTCTAGAACAAAAACATACATTATTTTAGCTCCACCGAGGTTCAAATCCTCAATCTCTATTTTGAGAAAGAAAGAGTGATATCGCTAAGCAATTTAATCCTTTGATTAAATCAAATATGAGTTGAATCAAATGAATAAGTAAAGTATTCCAACTGTGACATCATTTTTATCACTGAGACCTGTAATTCTCATTGGTCATTTGTAAAATACATTTAGGAAATAACCAATATAAAGCCAAATTATGATTTAATCAAATATTAAAGAACAAAATTTTTGGTCCATTACCCCAATTTAGTTTTGAAAAAAAAAAAAAAAAAAAAAAAAAAATCCTTATCATTCGGCTTTAATGATAAAATCCACCTCTTGATCCATTTCGGTTGAGTAACACTAATAAATTTAAATTCACTCTCTAAATTGAATTGATTGATTAAATAAAATGATAAGTGAAGTCCAATTAAAATTCAAACCGTATAATTTTCTTTTTCCCAAAACCTTGATTTTATTTATTTAGTACTAGTATATTTTTACAGTTAAAGCTACTTAATATATATTACTGTTTATTTTGATGAGTACGGAAAACAAAGGAGCGGACCTTACTATAGGTTCCGCGTCCAAAGCTGAAAAAGAAGGATAATTGAGAGTTTTTTTTTTTTTTTATTTTAATGTGTCATGGTTCAAATTTTTTTTTTTTTTTTTTTTTTTTTCTTTCTGAAGTGTTAATTCGGAGTATCATTTTACACAAATTCAATATTTTATTTAATAATTCTAAAATATCAGCTTTTTAGATGGAAGGAGGAGGAGATAATATTTGAATTAAAAATAAATACATGATACATTCATGTAAATATGCGCATCTACTTAAAAAATGTGATGGAAAAATGTAAACCGTAAATTACGCACACATATATGTAGAAAGTCACGGTAAAAAATATTATATATTATGTGTATATATATTACAAATAATAATAATAATTATTATACTATTTAATTTATTTTTTCAATCATATCCTAAATTCATTCGTTGTTGTTAGTCTTATAAAGTTTGCATATTCATTACATATCTTACCAAAAAAAATTAATCTAAATTTTATCTCAATTATTAATATATAATTTTAATAAAGTACGTACACATAGCTACAAAATCGAATCAATTCATCAAAAGTTTTAACAAAATAACTAAATATATAGTATTCATATGATACTAGTTACAACTCAAAAACATTAAAAAAAAAAAAAAATCAAATTTTCAACTGACTGAAAAAATGAAATACTTAGGTTTAATTACCTGCACGTCATGTTAGTATTATTGAAAAAGCGTCTGAATTGCTTTAAAAAAAAAAACAAAGAAAAGAAAGAAAAGATGAAAGGAATTTAATAATTGAATAAAGTATGTTTTATGAACACTTCTTTGAAGTAAGATGTATTTGCCACCTCTACATTCTCAATTTACATCTTCTCAAACTTCGGACCCTTCTGAGCTTTCTCCACATCTCTGCACATTTTCCTAAATTTGGCAGCTTCTGTACCAGTGTGGTTGGATCGACACTGTCACCTTCTTTTGTTCTACATCTGTACACCAAAAGAATCTTACAAATCAAACTTATATTGTAGTGTTCCTATGCAATCATTTACTACTATAAGTCTATAACTAAGATCTTATTAAGGTCTTATGTGTGGATGGTCATATGAAATGTCTGGATAAACAAGCTAGCGTTATGTTTGGAAGCACCAAATTAACACTTTAAATTTGAAATTATTAAATCAAATTTAGTTCAAAATTTAAATTATTTTTTCTTAAATTTTAATTATAAAGAGTTGGTTTGGTGCTTCCAAACATAACATGTTAATTGACGTGGGATTGACAAAATGGTCTATGGTTGAGAGTAGCACACAATAGTTCAATGAAAGCAAAAATGGACACTTCTTACCTATGGTCCATGGGCAGTGAAGCCGAAGAAAATCGCAGGCTTTTCCCAGTGACAACTTCAGCAAGACTAGGCTGCCCAGATACAACATGAGCAGCGAAAGCAACCAACACCCTGTCACATAGACCAGCATTCGTTAGGCTAATTAGAGATCTTAAAAAGTGAGCCAATACACCAAATGCACATAAAAGGGTTGCCTTGTGTCAAACTATGAATTTAGTATACCTTACAAGAGCCGAATTCGAAACATATTTTTTCATGAAATTTAATCTTTCAACAAAGAGCTGCAAATTGGTGACCAGAAGCTCAGTTTCAGTTCTCTTTGCTATATATATGCAGATTGATAATAAGCCAAAACAGTAGTAATTCCTAATAGATTCCGACATTCAAGATTTTATGGATCTACCTCAAGGCCAATATTAACTAATAAGAAAACAATTCCGAATTCAGCAACAGAAGACAAAGCACAGAGAGACCACAGAGTCCAATCACGATCCCAGCAGCCAAATGCCCATTAAAAACTCTCCCTAAAACATAGCAGTAGGTAGAAGACTGCATTGGTGGAAATGGTAAGTGCTGATTGTGGTAACAACTGGATCAGATTAGAAGTGGAATTTCAAGCTTGTAATAATACATACATAAGAATAGATTAATCATGCAGATTGCTGAAGGAATCAGCTGCCACTTATAAACATCAATGGAATCCGTTGGTGTAATTATCTGCAGAATTGCTGGACTGGTTAGAATTTGCTCATGAGCGTCTGATGACTTGAGATTTGAGAAGTGAAATTTAAATGGTTCATTAGTAATTGGCAGTTTGATCAAACACATCCAACTGTCTAAGGAATGAACTGTTAGGATATGTGTGCCCTAGCAAATCCTAATTTTGGATTGTAAAAGTCATGGTTTCTTATCTGGATATTATTATTAAAGTATTATACAATTGGTGAATGGAATGTATTATTTGTTCGATTCATTATGGAATTGATTGTATCCACTTAATTACATAATATATTTATATGTATGTAATGGCAATTAATACTATGTTATAAATTAGTAATCATAAAAGGTTTAAAGTCGGTAATTATGGATGGACATTTAATTAGTTAAGACTTAAACCGAGTCCACGATAGATTGAGATATATTGCGAGAGCTGTCCTATGCAATTGCTCTCTATCACAGTCATGGCTTTTGACTCTCAAGCATGAGAGAAGTATAGACTCTTTTATTAATTAATAATTACTTTGATTTGTTCGGCGGATACCTCGGGATCCTTAGATCGACACTTTGGGTAGTTATGTAATTAATAATTAGAGGTCTATATTCTCAATATTTGCATCAGTGCTATTTGTATTTATTTTGTTTTAATTATGGTTGATCACAAATTAAATTCGAAGGCCTTCGTATATTTTAGACAAATGTTTTCTATATATATTTATTTAATAAATTATTATTATTTTTGTCAAATAAATATTTTATTGTGATCGAGCCGGAAATAATCAAAGGTAACAAAATAATTATATTAATTATGTTGTCGGATTGATGGCTTTAATTATCCGATAAATAATAAAGCGAGGGGTCAAAGTGTAACATTGACTTAGAGGTTATTTACTATTTAATTGAAGTGCAATTAATTTCTTTAAGTGGAGTAGAAATTAATTTATGAATTAATTGAATTGGGTCCATAGTTTAATGGACCGGATCAATTATTAATTTATAGGAGCCAAGAAAATAGTAAGACCAAAAGGATTCTCACCAATAGCCCAAGTTGATATTGGAGTCATGTTAGAATTGAGAAAGTTGAATTAGAGATGGAGAATGATTTATTGTTTCTTTATTCTTATTTTTATTTTGCCTATATATACATGAGTTCATGTATATTTTTAGGGGGACTTGGAGAACAAGAAAAATGAATACACTTTCTCTCTCTAGATTTTAGGGTTTTGTTTTCTCTTCTAAAGGAGGCTACCACCAGCCTAGATTCCAAGGTCATTCATCAAGGCATATTGGTGATTCCTAAAGGAAAGATAATAATCAAAAAGAAGGAGAAAGGATCTTGCTAAAGGGATCTACAATAAGTGAGAACACTCACTTTAGAGGAAAGTTCAAAATGTTTACTCAGACCTTTGATATAAGTATTCAATCTGTTTATTGAATTATGTATCATCTTTTATTTATCTTTGAATAAAACTTGTCTCCATGTAATGAATCAAGATCTATGATTGCAAATCCCTCAAAAAGTTTTAAAAACTTGCACGTTTCCCAACATGAACAACATAAATTAATCAAACATGGGATCATCACCTAATTCGAAATAAAACTGAAAAAGGAAAAAAAAAAGAAAAAAATTGTTCTGTACGTATAACAAATATGTAATCTTCCATATAAAAAATAAAAAATAAAAAAATAAAAATAAAAAACATAAGGTGTGAGGAGAAAATAGGCATAAGTCCCAAAAACCACCCCACTTAACCAACCGTGGAGAAGGTTTTTACTCAAGAAGATAATCCTTCATGAATTATCTTTGTCGAAACAAATAGACCTTAACTATAAGAATAAGGTAAATACAATAGCTTTCATTTCAACAATCTACAACTAATAACCCAAATATATTACCGGCCACCAGATAAATTACATTCTCTGTTCGGTGCAAAAAAAAAAAAAAAAATTCTAGAATTTGTTCTTATTTTTTTTAAAAGAATAAAGCAATTGAGTTTAAATTTAACTAAGCTGCGATGTAACATATAGAATGTACAAATTTTGTGATTTAGAAGGCAAATTAATCTCATTATCTAAAATTAAAAAATGTTAAGCCAAAAGTAGACATTTTAA